TATATATATATATATATATATATATGGGTTTCCTCCGAACTCTATTGCAATTATTACCGTGCCTACTGGTGCGATCGGGGGTTACATGAAACGGCTGAGCTTTACGCTTCTAAACACAAAAAGATTAGTTGCAGCTTTTGTGTTTCTCTAGAAACCCGTAACTGAACCACACGTCCCTGGCAAGCAGACGGATTTCCGTCTGTTTTGGATGCATGCAGGGCTCAGAAACAGCTGGGCAGCAAGAACAGCTACTGCTGCCCATTTACTGCCTCATTTCCTGTTTAATTAGAGCGCCATAAACCCTAGCAAAATTGCAGATGCTACTGTCATGGTACTTACGACATAGGAAGATGCTTCCGATGGCTTGCTTCCCGTTACATTTGGTGTTGTGGGTCCTGGTGTGGGTGCCTGCGTAGTTTGCCCTGTGGTACTAACTGTCGTCGTTGTCGATGTTGAAGTGGAAGTTGCAGGTGTGGATGCCCCGTTTTGTTCTGTCACGGTTGCGGGTTTTGGCTTGTTTTCTGTAGTTGTTGGTGTTGCTGCTCTAGTTCGTTGTATTTCTGTTGTAGGTTGTGGAGCCTCTGGTTTTGGAGCTGCTGGTTGTGGCGATTCCGGGGCTTTTTCTGGGTCGGTGCCTTCCCGCTCTTTCAAATTAGTATCGCTAGCAGGAGGTTTTTGAATGCTTGCGTCTGTACTAGGCAGTGTACTTCCTGCCGTTGCTGTTATTCCATCGTGTGAAGTTCTAGGAGCAACGGATGAGCCTTCATCATTTGTTTCCGCCGGCATAGTAGCATTGGCTACAGTTGACGGGGCAACTCCTGTGGGGTCTGCTTCCTCGGAACCTTCACCACCAGGCCCCGCATCAACAATGGTATCAGCAGCAGCAGTAGGAGAAACTGGTGTATGAGGACGATCTAGATCTTTTCCAGAGGGAGAAGCGGCGGTTCTGCCACTCTCGCTGCTTGGAGGCTCCGGAGGAGCAGCGCCTGCACAGGGACCCAACACAAACAAAGCCCGGGGAACAGATGAATTCGTGCTGATGTCTGTGTCGCACTCACTACACACTTGATTACTTTTTCACTTAGTGTGCTCTCCCACTGCTCTCTCCTGGGGAAGAACCGCTTGCGTCGTCGCTGCGGTTGTTTCCGGCCTGCACTCCTGCGTGCAAAAAAAATTAAGGACAGGAGGGAATTATTCCACCATTGATGAGTAAGAGAGGGGAAAGAGCATCATATTCGGGCAGTGCTTGATTGCGTATTTGGTCGGCGATAAAACCGCCCCGCCAGTCCTCAAGGCAACAGCCGCATAAGAAAACGCCCCAGTGAACTAGGCGCAAGAGGGGATAATGCATTGGCATGCAATTGGAAAGGTGTAAAAGGCTTGGGGACGGCGGTTTCATGAAATGCCATTCTGGTGATTTCACCCTAGTTTCTTTCCCGGTCTCTACTCTCCCGGCAGCCAGCTGAGAGTGCATCGAATCTGTGCGTGTTGCCGCACACAAATAAAATGCGCATTAATTTAACGCGTTAAATGAAGTATTTACCTGGAGGTGCTTGCTCAGCAAGAGGCGGTTCACCCTCCGTACCCAAGGCACAGAGGGCGCAGGCCGTGAGGACTGTTAAGGTTTTGAGGACCCCCATGCTGGTGGAGTAGCCCAAGCCAACGAAAACTAGGCAGAGTCAAAAACAAATTAAAATAAATGATCGATATGAAACTGCATTGGAGGCAATAGCGGTGCAGTGGACCAACATGAGTCTCCATCGGTGCTCACGCAGCCCACCTGGGGAGCGGACATGCTCGGATGTCTGGGAAGATCTCGTGCTGTTCCAGTCTGTTCCGCAATCCAGCCAATTATATAGCTTCTTACAGGCAGGGAAAAGCTTAATTTCTTTGAAAACAAGTGTGATCTGACCAGCCCGAAGAAGCATTTTAACTTTTATGCTCATTTCCCGTTGGGGTTTCCTTCGCCGCCTAGCAGGATGCGTGGGACAAAGACTCGAATGAAATATTCCGCTTTGTCAGGTATTTCAAAGAAACCTGCTTGCAATCACCATTTTCACTGCTTTGGCACCAGGTAGGAACGACAGGTCGCTCGTATCACCCCCTGGTTAACAGAAGGTTTAGCCCTGTCCTTGCATTAAAAATACGTAAACCACGGCTCATAATATATAATATATGTCTAACAAGAGGTCCAATTAAAACCTTCTGTTAGCCTCTTAAGCACACAGTAAAACTGCAGCTTTTGCTTGGGGAAAGACCTGGTGAGAGCAGGCCTTTTGCCCCAATGCTTTGAATGTTCTCCGCTAGCAAAAGTTTAAATAGAGGAGCTGAGGCGGTTGAGGAGAGAAATGCAGTGGCATATGGTGGCAAGGAGGAGCAGGAGACGCCACAACACATACTGCTTTTTTCCTTGTCTCCCGCAATTGGAAAAACTTTCGTACCACTGTTTGATACCTGGGCTGGCGGATGCATTCACTGACTGGCATCAAGCGTTTCGTTGGCAGTTACACGCTACAAAGACTGTTCAACACTGAACCTCAAAAACCCCACCGAAGCATTAGCAAGTATAATATTCCTTCGGTGTTGCATTAGGTCTTCATTGATGGGCAGCCTCCTATAGGTTGACAAGCCTCATCATGCAAGAAATTAACATAACGGGGCCACGGACCGCCTCTTCCTGTTTCCTGCTTTGGCTAGCAATGGAGAACTGACAGAGGCCTGCAGCGGGCCCTGCATGGCTCGAAAACTTTTGCAATTATGTAAAAGTAGGCTGCACGGGAGGGGGAAGGCGATTTTTTCTGCTGTAGGACTTAGACACTTCCTAAAGAAACACTGCGCATTGGCTGATTTTAAGCACAAGTCTCGTCCTGGCCAGCTAAACATTGCATTCCGGAATAAGGGCCCTAGGAAGATGATATTGTCCTAGGGTTTAACACTAGTCACTTGTTTGCAGCACCAGGGCAGTCCCTGATAACACCCAGAAAGAGGCGTGCTCAGAAAAAGGCAACCAGGCGTCAAAGACCCAACCTTCGCCCATAGCGTTTCGGCGGCCTTCTGTGGCGTACACGGGAGTACGCAGCAGGTTGCGGATGTTCATGCGGTTTGACTCGATAGGAATTACTTTAACGAGAGGCATTTCTTCAAACAACTTCCGAGGTGTTTGCGGAGCCAAGAGACCCGAGAAGCCGTCCCATCGAGCACCCTGCAGACAGAATTCAAAAAAGGCGTTTGGAGGAGCGAACTGAGATTACTGGGGTGTCAAAAATACAGCGAAAAAGACAGGGAAGCAGTACTGTACCTCAATATACATTCCTTCTAAATAGGCGCCGTGTTCCAGGCTCTCCTCAATCTGTGACGATGCAGTAAACTGAGTAACTTCTGTCGAAAGCACTAGCTTGTCTAGAGCTATTTCCTTTTTGCGGCTCGTAACTTGAATAAGAGCAGTCAGAAACGAGTCTGGCATATGCAGCCCTCCAAGCCAGTAGCATGTGAGGCTTCCCTGGAAGTTCCACAAGGCAATTAACGCAAGATATCAAGTGCGTTCTACGGCGTCAGGCGGAGGTTCCCCTTTCCCTCTGTCATGCAATACAAGCTACCGGTCTAGCTGTTTGTTTGTTTGGTTTTCTCTTGCCTTGCGTAGGAAACACAAAGAGGGAAATGACCCTTGCCTGTGCTATCCACGCAGTGTACTGATCGATCCGTCGCATCAGGTGCGAAAGCCAGGAGCCTAGAGGTTTCAAGCTGGGTGGTGATAGCGCGCGCCACTCTGTCGGCAAAAAGCCTGCTTGCAGCGACAAGGCCAAAGCATCAAGATCTCCTGACATGCCAATATCTCCTCGAAGTGCTCGAGACAAATCTCGTAGCGATTGAGACATAGTTTCAGTCAGTATATTCAGCCGGTCAAGTTCCTGTACTCAACAGCCAGCCGATGAGCAGCAGCTAACGCACAGAGTTGCTGCAATGGTCGTATGCTGCTGGGAACAGTGATTGTTACATTCTCATTCTTCCCAGAGAAAATAATTTGAAATTGGAGAGCTGTCAAGCTCTCCTTAAGCAACTAACTCGGGGATACCTGAGCCAGGACAACCTGTATAGGCGTTGGCGTTTCGGAACCAGCCGTCATGTAGAGGCCCTTCTCAGGTAATTTGCCGAGTATTTCTGAAATAGTTGCCACCAGAGCTTCTTCTTTGAGATTGCCGACACCCGAGTCACTGGTATTTCCAGAGGAATTCGCAATGTTGATTTTCAAAAGTCCGTGCCAAATGCTTTTTGCGTTCTCTACGAAATAACCGATTTCTGCGTTGGTGTGAAGGCCAAATACTTCCGGGGTGTTGCTTGCTGGCAAATTCTGCAGACATGACTCTCGGAAACATGATCCTTCCAGTTTCTCGACAATGCACTCTAACAGCCACATTTGAAACGGATTTGTTCATGGAAGGTTACACAGTGCGTCACCCAGAAAAGTGCATATCGTGCAGATACAGCGAAGTGTTGTGGCAAATACCTTAATGAATTCGATGTGTCCTGCAGTCGAGCTGTCAGGCGGTAGCCCATAGCTGATGGGCAGCTTGCAGAAAGAAAACTGCCGGTAGCTATCGAAAACGAACTCCCCCAAATACTCCTCTAAGTATGTTGCAAGCACACGTCGATCAAAGTCATCAGTCACACGGCCGCCGTACATTGCCTCCCCAATCAAATACCTTAGCGTTTCCCATGGAATTTCTGATGCCGTTGGTGAAGTACCACCGGGCTGCAGTTCCGCAGATTGACTTCCCCCTTCTGAAGGGAGACCCTCAGGACTTTTCAAAGATTTACTCAAATACATTTTCACAAGACTGAGCGATATCGAAAGGTCAGACTCATTGAAGTCGTAAGGTACGTTCCACCCTATTTTCCCGTACTTACGCCTCTCCTGCATCGCATCACATATTGCGCTCTCCTTTGTCCAACGGCACAGCAAGGCTGTATCTTGGGGTCAAAGTAAAGGGATCTGATCTTCAAACCTACCTGGACAACCGCGTGGAAGAAGCTCAACGTATACACAAGTGTGGGATACGCTGGATGCGCGCACTGCTCAAACGCGTCTTCTCGAAATAGGGAATACGAGGTTTGTAGGTTAGCCCGTAGGCCGTCGGGGGGTTCTGTCACCACCTTCAGGGAAGCCTGAGATGTTCAGAGGCAGTTAATGAAAGGGAAGGCACCCTGCAGATGCAGTCCAGGCTGAAAGCGTAAGGTAGCAAACCAACGGGAGTAAGGTACCTGCAGGATACTCAGCGGGAATTCTTGGGTTGGCTGCGTAGTCAGCCACAGCCGGAATCCTTTGTGTGGTTTCTTCATATCTGCGGAATCACCCCTGCCATAAATAACAAAAGCTCCGGTGACCCGCCTTCGAAACTGGTGGGTCGCCGCAACGTTCATGGCGCTTCCCTTTCACCTACCTTGGAGCAACTTGGCAAGCGTCGAAAGCCATCCTGGGAGAAGATGGCAGTTCTGCAGCATTATCCAAAATCCTCGTTGGTATCCTACTTCCACAAGCTGCCCCGCTTGCTCTCCCATGCCCTGTCCTATGGAAAGGTGGCGGAATTTATTTCCTGCAGGATGCAGGATACAGCATTTATATGTAAAATAGTCCGCACGCTGATGGTTTACTAAAGGTGGCCATTCAGGGGCTGCAAAGTAGACTACGAGGAACGATGTGCGCATCTCATATGGAGTAGTTCGACTCGCCTGCAAGACCAATGGACTCGGCCAGAGAAGAAACTGCAGCGAAAGGGTTAGCCCCAGGGGATAATATCAGAAGGATTGGCGAATGCTCGGAGGACTGAGCATATATTTTAGAGTACCTGCAAGCAAGCAGTGTCGACAAGAAAGACAGTTGGGCATTGGCTATGCTGCTCGAGTGGCACTGCTTTGCAGAGGTATAGGAACCGCTGTGAAGGGGCTGTCCATCTCTCACTGAAGCGTCGGTGACTGCACGTAGTGCTCATTTAGTCTCCACTGAATAAAATTTTTAATGGCATTGTGGACTCGATCCACACGGAACACGCGGACAACTATCAACTTTTGGAAGGGAGATAATACTCGGTTCCACTGGCCAGGCATGTCAGCTTTTTCGGCCCAGTCATCTTCTGCCCACTCTTTCCATGCCTGAGGATCTCAAGACACCCTTGACTAGAGAGAGGGGTGCCCACCGCTCCTCATTGACCAGTCACAGCCCTGCAGGGTGCCACTCTGGCAAGTTGCCACGCAGCTGACAAGCCATGAATCAGGAGAATTTTCGTGAATCTCCAATATGAGGCTGCCCCCTACAGAAAACCTTAAACAGGCATGTAGCACTTACTTGAGGTTCGGCGAGGACACTCTCCCGCAGTCCCTGGAAAGCGGGGCTGACCGCGCTTAACTTAAACAGATCATTCCATCCACTGTCTGGTATCCAGCTGAGTGCCTCAGGCTTCGTCTCCCCTTCCGAAATAGTGGTACTCCCCTTCAGAAAGAAGTCCAGCTCTTCTTCAGGAAGTTTTCCGTCATGTCGCATGATCATTGTGGTCAGATGGAATGCGAAAATAAGCCTCTGACTTTCAAATAGACCTAGTGACACGGATGCAGCAACTGCACTATAAGATAAGTAGTTGAGGCTGATACAAAAGTGTTTACGTTCAGTCTGCGAAGTGTCATGAAAAGAAAACGGATATTTGCACTTCGGAATGGGTGTCTCCCTTCACCAGCAACCGGGGAATTTTATGCTTGCTCATGGGAGGATTACCAAGGCTTATGTAATCATATGACAGTTGCGTAACCTTGTCAACAAGGCTCTTTAATCGGTTCTCTAGTATTCTATCTTGCCGTGCTTCCCGCAGAGCTACTCGGAATGTGTGGAGGAACGCATCGAGAGAGTATTCCAGCATTGGCGAAAGGTTTCGCATTCCATCCATGCTGAAATAGACGACACTTCCTCGCTTTGCGACACTATAAAACTCCTGACGTTTCTGTAGCAGGCGCAAATACAAGCAGTGAGGCAATTTAGTATTAATAAGTGCTGAACTGCTAAGGGAGCAAGCGATTAAATCAGTCCGAAGTTTTAAAACATGGAAATATTAGGGTCTGACCTCTTCGATTTTCACAGAAGTTGACTTAGCCTCTTCAAGGAATTGCTCTATCTCAAGAGCTTTAGTTTTCGTATTTTGAAGAGTTTCAATCAGGTCCTCGTTATCTAAAGGGCTTCCTTTAGAGTGAGCGAGCTCATGGAGAAGCGTATTCTCAAGATGCTGCAGAAGTTCAAATAAGATGGCAGACTTCTCTGTAGTTGAGAATCAAAACCCAGTGAGTAGCGCATGCACCCACTTGTTTACCCCTACCTTCAACATTAGACGGCCCTCGCTCATGCGTTGTACAAGCTCTTGACGCTGACTTTCTAACTCGGGCACTTCGTTGCCGACGACTATTGCCAGCATTTGCTCCGCGAGTCCACTCATTGTTACCTAGTTGACCACAGCAAGCCAAGGTTTTCATACTATTTATGGCAGGAAGGCAACTGAGTCATAAATATGCGGTGCGCTCAGTGGCAACTTCAAACGCCTTTCTGCATGGCAAACCTGGTAATTAATGACATTTGTCTTGTTCATAATCTCAGGACTAAACTTCGGATTTGACAGTTTGGTTGTCATGTATAAACAAAAGTTATCATTCCAGTCAATCTGCTTCCCCACTGCATACAAGGCACAGAGAGGTCCAAAGTGTGTCCTTGTATGATTACCTCACTGTGACCTGCATGCAACGCTACAAATGACACTGCAATCAACGAAAGCTCAAGGCGCTCTTACGAAGGGTTACGACCTTCTGCCCATTCTGTATGGTTAGGTTTCGTTCTAAGATAGGATCGATTGATGGATCAATCTCGGTTTCAACCGATTCAAAGAGAAACGGTTTGCCGTATTGAATGGCGAGTTCCAGGTACTTCATGTAATCGTCTGTAAAGGTCTTCGTCACAAGACTGCGTTCCTCCTCGCGGTGTTGAATCCACTTCACCGCCTGTTCACAAGGTACACACAAGATAGTGCCTGGGTTTGCCGTCGGCGTTGTTTGCAAGCGCCTTGAGAGCTGCTCTTGCAAATATTACCTGCATTTGAGGATCTATGCAGAGGGGCCAACGAGAAGACATGGTGGTCAGTATGCCATTTTGAATGGACATTTCGTTAGCGGGTAGGCCTTCTTTATTCCACTTGGCGATATCTGCGTCACTCGTGAGCAGTCCTTCAATCTTGAACGGGTCATTTATGGGGATGCCTGATTCTTTGACACCCAATGCCCAGTGCTCATAAACCTGAGAAAACAGAGATAGTATACCGGTCTACCGTGTGCATTTGAACCAGAAACTCTCGAGGCACGAACGCTTCCGTCATGCCACACAAGGGCTGCAGCCTCCTGGCCTTCCGGCCACAGTACACTTGCGTTTCGAGTCTCCAAAACTCACCATACGATTTCTAAACTCGAGGGTATACGGTCCAGCGTATGAGAGGAATGCTGCACCGATTAAACAGCTTCCAACAAGCCGGGTGCGCGTGTCGCTGCACGCCTCATGATCTTCTGTCCAGCGGCGTCTTTCCGACTCAAGTCCGTCGATCAGCTTGCATGCTGCTTCAAGTCTGCGTTCCATCAACTTTGCTTCAGCTTCCACCTCGCGTGAAGTCTCCGTCTGTTTCTTCTGTTCGGACATTAATTCAGCCATCTGTTCCTCCAGAAGACGGAGTTCTTCCTGCAATGTGGGCGATGACATGGAGGGCTCAATGCTTAGTGCATGTGGGTACTTCAAACTCCGTTCTGGCAATACAAACAATGAGCCGCTAGAGCCAGAGTACTGTCGTCGTTTGGACGCTTGCATGCGGCTTGAGCGAGCTGTGTCCTACCCTGATTTTCGTCAAGTTGGCTTCTGCCTCATCTTGTTTCTGTTGTAGCTCTGCAACAAGTCGTCTTTTTGGCTCGACCCCTTTTGCAACCTCATGGTACTGAAGCATTGCTTTGACCCACGTCAACAGACCGTTCCCTGCCTTCGAAATCTTGGACATTTTTTCGCTCGTAAATGAGTCCGGATCCTTGTTGAAGTATTCCATCACCTTTTTCACTTGCCGGTCTGGAAAGTGAAACCCAATCAACTGCACATGTGCGAAATTTTATTGATCTGTGCCCAAATATTACTTCCTCTAGTCGGACGATAAAATATTCTGGATTTGAATAGTGTGGGGTAGAGGCAGTCACGGACCAGAGATGTTATCCTTTGGATATTCTACGAGGCTCTTGAGGAAATTGACATCATTTAACATGGCCTTGGCACCGTTCCATCCGTCGGCCTCATTTTCTTTACCAAGGGGTCGTAGCACCACGACACACATGCAAACATTCATGACGGGCTTCGGCGGAGTCATGAATGCTTTAATCTCCGTGATATCTTTCTTGTCAAGGTTTTCAAGCGCTCTTGCTGCAGCCTCTAACGCTGGAATCGCCTCAGCTAACGCCTCGTCTGCGCTGGCCTTTTCTTGGTTTATAGTAACTTGATCCTGCAGGAAGTTTTATGTCCAAGTATTCTGCACGGTGGTTTTCGCGAAAAATAGATAATGGCGTTAACAGGGAGCTTAATACCACCAGCGTGTCTTGAGGATCAGTGGTTTAACCTTAGCTTTATCTAAGTTACCTGAGATATTTGACGCTCGGTAGCGCGCGCCTCTTCCTTCCTCTGACTGGCCTTGGCACTTTTCTCATTTATGCTACGGATGAGCTCCTCTATGCTTCGCTTCTTCTCGTCCACTACGATTTTTTTTGCCGCGACTTGTGTATTCATTATCTTGATGGATTCCGCTGCCTACGCCAGCCGAACAACAATCGAAACTCCAAGGAACCCGCTGCCTAGTAACAAGTGTAAATTTGCTTGCGCTTGTGCATTCAGTCAAGAAACGACTCACACTAACTAGCCGAAGCTTACGCTATTCATTTTCTGGAGTCCTCCTTCTAGGCGTGTGCTGAGCTGGTCAATGCTGGAACGCTTTGCCCGCAGCATGCCCTTATATGTCTTGAGGAAGTCAAGATAGTTTTTTGGAGTGGAGAAGGTTGCACGACCAAGTTTTGCCTCGAACTCTGGGGCATAGATTGTGGTTACACTGTCGTGTATCTTGACGACATGTTCCTCTATAACCGTTCGGTGCTCTTTCGGAAGGTCTTCGTTTTGCAGAAGTACCGTTGCAACCGCGGCAAGTGCCGATACTGGCCACGGTTGAAACCAGTCCACACTGGTGCAGGATACGAGGCCTGGGAAGTTGCGACAACGATTCCGCAGTGCGTCTCCAGACGGCGACATTGCTAGAAGAACGTGCATGTTGCCTTTCGCTCTGTTCATTGCATAATTCCACAGAGCATCCTCTCGAGCGCCGTCTTCCTTGGCGGCCCCCCTAATAGCAGCAATAAGGGCATCCTTCTGGTCATCAGCGAAAAGGGCGGGAACCATTCCAACTGTTAGGAGGTTGTTTATGTATTCGAGAAAACATTCGAGCTTGATATCCGCGTCCGAAAATAGGAGGCATTGCCGCTCTTTGACCGCCAGCGTTATCAGTTGACGAAGGTCCTCTTTTAGATCTGCTTCTCCGTAGGAACGCATTGGTGAAAGAGAAAAGTGATTATACCTGCGAAGGAGGAGAAACATATCCAGATAGGGACTGTTCTCCACATTTGTGGCTTCACTGGTGAACAAGTGTCAATGGTTAATCGTCAGCAAAATGACAGGACCAAAAATATTTCACCCAGAAATGTATATTGCTAGAGTGGCAACACTGCGCTTGCCAGAGCCGCCCATTCCAACTAGCAGTCCATGGCCTCTTTCCATTCGAATTATTCTGTGAACCCTCGCCAGGTGCGCGATGACATCCTCAAACATAACTAAGTGCATGGGCTTCCGATCGAAATTGTGAAGCTCCAAGAGGCGCTCGAGCAAAGGCCGGATTTCTTCAAAAGAAGCGTGATCGTCGTAGGATCTATTCTGATACACCAACAGGAAGAAAAAAGGCTAAAATCTCATGCACCTGTTGCTTCGTTCACTCGAGCCAACTAAAGGGAGCACTTGCCCACCTATTAGGTAGTTCTGTTACATTTGATGCCGCGTTCCTACCGGAGAGTCAGCCTTCTCTTCAGCTTCTAGGAGCTTAAGGGCGCTGGGGAACTCCGTCCATACTAAAGGATCCCTCAGAGCGTGCTCCGAGCAGTCTGGGAAAGTGTCTTCGATAATTTGCTTCAACTTTATGTGTTCCAGGTACTGTTTTTCCTCCTCGTCTATTAGCCTATCTTCAAAGACTCGGAGACTTTCATGTCTGGAGCAAACTCAGAAGTAGCGCGCGTCGCCAATCGCCGCTGCAATTCCTCTTCCAGATCGAGCCTACTTGAACGACTGTTGCGTCTCTGCTTTCTCTTTGTTCTCACCTCCAAAGGCGAAGGACTGACTTTCCGTCAATCGAAGGAGGCAGGTTCGCATGCCATATCCCTTGGTAAATTCGGGAGAGATCGCGCATGTTGAAAATGTAGTGAAATTTTTTTGGCGTGCGCATCATCTTCTCTACTACACCTTCATAGAGAGCCAGGGTGGCCGCGGGCAACTTTGTGAGCACAGGCTGCACAGCATCACTCCCACAAGCTTCGCCGTTTGGTTCTCTTTCTTATCACAACAGAAGCAGTTATCGTACGATTGTGGCCCGCGGGATGCGAAGTAGGAAGCTTACTTTAAGCGCTGTACAATCAGAGCCAAACTTCAAATCTAGAATAGTAGACAGTATTCGCTTGACTGACTCTTGAGATGGGGACTGGATGTTGAAGCAAAAGAACTGTGAAATAGCTCTTGGGTCAACAGAATTTCGGCCATTTCCTGGAGGATTCATTGCCCCGAGAAAATGCACATCCTTCAAGATAATCTTCTCAAGGTCTTTGCCTCGTTCATAGAAGAACATCCTTCCCATCACAAATTTGAGCAGAGCTATAGGCTGCTGAGTACCGTAAATGTCAACCTACGCAAAAAGCAGTATCTGTTCTTTGGAAAACAATCGAAAAGCCCAGTGGCGATCCGCGAGATACCGTATACAGCCGCAAAACAGCTCACAGCGTCTTTAATACAGTGGTTGACATGCATTTACTAACCGTTGGCATGTTGAGATCATCCAGAAACACCTTAAGTATTTTCCCAGAGGGGGGCCCATAAACTCGTCCTATTCTCTTGTCAATGTTATCTTCCAAAGCTTTTTGGAAGTCAAGAGAACTAGTTCTACTACTGAAGTTCATTTGTAGTTGCAGATATTCCTCATTGTCAAGGGTATCCAGCCAACTTTTCGTCATTATAGATTTAGCGGTACCTATACGTTGGTAAGAAGCATAGAAACTTGAAGTTGGTCCGTCAGCCTAGATCTTTTTTTTGCTCGATATTGTGCATCTTGTCCACAGATCAAAGCTCATTTATTAAATGCTACTTCGGACTAGCACAAGGTTCAGCTGGATATCCTCAACTCACCAGACTCCCCAATAAAAAGTGTTGGAAGAGCTTTTGAAGCAAAGCCTTGTAGGAGCCACATTGCACGGACTGTATCAGTGGTGGGGACAAAAATACTTGTAAAAGATATCCCGGCCTCGGGACAGTACTGTGGGACCTGACGGCAGCCCAAGTAGAAACATCAAGCAGGAGACCGGACTATTTCAATGACCGGTATGAAAGAGGAGAAGCATGAGTAGTCTTTTCGCTCCAGTGGAAAGTCTGCGGGAAAGGCAGGTTAGGGGCCAGCAAGAAGATACATCGTAGACAGCTGACCTTAGACTCCCATGATAGCCAAGAGTTTGACTGCAGCTCGTAAAAGCTATCAAATAAGCTTTGACTAATAGATGCTTTTCCGGAGAGAGTCTTTAAAAGTACATCGAGCCGCGGTTGTTCCTCTCCCTTCAGAGTTGCTCCAAGCGACCAGACCAAGGCAAAGAGGAACGCGTTTTCTAACTTTTCTGGGTTTGGTTCCGCGTAAAGAGCCTCTGGCACCATGATGTCCATGATTTTGCATAGCTGCGCCACCTGTTTGTTGCGCAGAAGTTTGGACAAACTTGGCGGCCAAACTTTTTGTTTGGTTCGCAAGAGGCGTCGCTTCGGTTTTTCTCATCATTACAACTCGATGTTCTAACGGTCCCTTGGCCAGACTTACCATGCTGACATCCGTTCGATATATGCACTTAGCAGGCACAGGAGCCTCGTCGTCTCTTCCTTTATCGTGCAGAATAAAAGCCAGACACTGCGGGACATACTTTTCCCACAAGTAGTCCAAAACCTCAAGTAGCTGCTCACTTGACTTGCTCCTCGCCCAAGCGTCGTAGTAGGGAAAGCTTCCTAGGTCTCGCTGGTCTACATACACCATTCCGCAACGCGAAACTGTTGCCGGAGATGCATACTTTAAATCCGAAACCTGAGGAAAGATAGGGCATCATCGGCCGCCGCGCGTTTATCAGTGCTGCAGCAAAGCTGCTGTGAGGCAACGTCTAAGAATAACATGGTCAGATCTATTTTCCTCATTTGGCAAGCCAAGCATATCTTCCAATCGCACCTCAAAAAGCAGTGCGCAGTGTTTTTCCAGGCGAATGCGTTCGCCATTCGACAAGGTTAGAAGCTTGTTGTCATCCATGACAGAGTTCATACTCTCGACCCAGACTGCATCCACATCACCGTCAAACAAAATGAAGCGCTTCTCCTTCCGCCCAACGGGTAAGGGCTGATTTGCATCCCGAAATATCTTGGATAGTAGACCGTCCGTCCAGTCTCGTGACACAGGATCTGCAGCGAATAGCGCATGAAGTCCCATCTTAAAGAATCTCGACGGTACACAATGGCGCGAAGGATGGCAGTTTTATTTATTAAGCTGTGCCGCGATATGCCATGTCTGCCTATGGTGAAGGTACAATCGGGGCAAGAGGAAGCCATTATTAAGATTTTAACTGATCTCGAGAAAATGATTCAGGTTACGCCGTGATAATTTTCTGTTTTTTTTAGCCATACCAAGCACGCCGTAGAGCTCGTCTGTTCCTTGAGCTTTTGGATTAATAGGCAGTACCTTTACAACTTCGTCAAATGCCACTTTGTGCGCAGCTGCGAGGGTTTCAATTATCACTGTTTTTCCACCTCCCGTTGTCCCTACGACCATTGTAGAGTGCCTCGTTTCCATTGTCTCGTAGAGTTGTACGACCTTGTCGACTTGATTGTCGAACTCCCGCTTAGAACGGCACTTGAATCCTTTGCTCTCTAGTTCCTGCCGGGCAGGAAACGAATAGAGGCAGGCTGAATGCCACTATGGTTTTAGCTAAGTTGACCAGACTGAACTAATGAGACACCATTTCCAACAAACATCAATGAAATGCGCTAGGCGACCGTCTTCCGACTAAGGTTTGCCTTGTTTGCCTTCCATCTCGATCTAGGGAAAAGCGCGAGAACCATCAATTATGGCTCACTTGTTCAATGGCTTCCTTTAGCTTAGGAAGCGCCAGGCGGTCGCATGTCACGTTAGGGAATAAATCGCTCAGGAGCCCGAGGAACAACGGCACATCTGGTTTTACAAGCTTTGGTATATTCATGTCACGGAGGGCCCTCATTAAAAGTAAATCATCTGGAGTGTCCGGTGCATCGCGCTTCATCGACCCAGCAATGACGAGAACGGCTTTCAGTGCCCTTAGTTGGAAGTCGTAGAAATACTGAACGCACCATTTCCCAGACGCCGCCAAACCTTGCACAGTAAAATAGACTGCCGTACGGCGAGCCCCTGCATAGCGACGCCTATAAATCTCACCTGCTTCGATAATTGTGCCGCAGCCAACTTGTACAAAACAGTCATCTTCCTAGCCAATATCCGCGCCTCCTGGAAACCTTCTGATATCAACATTATTTCGCAAATCATGGCCATATCTGGCACGGTCATGGTTGCAGGGCGGAACAAAGCCTTAAGGTTGTCGGGGAGCTCAGACCTACACTCAAAATAAGCGGCAAAGCTTTTGTTGGGGACGGCCTCCACGACCGGTGCCGCGCATTGTTAAACGCACTTTAGCCCACACTGGATAGCATATCGGTCACAGTTAGCAGGGCTTACCTTCCAGCATAGCCGGGATTCATTGTAACGAAAATTCCCACTGTGGGGACAAACTTCAGGCTCTTGCCAAGCAGTTCGACAGAACCTTTGCCGTTTTGTAGGCTTGTCTGGATTGCCTTGATTTGTGCAGATACCACAGAAAGCACCTCAGGATTGATGCGATTGAATTCATCGAAGCAACCCCAGAAGCCTGAGTACAATGAAAACGGGAGTTACGGGGAGCTCAGGAACTAGTGCTCATGCCGTAGAGTGCGAAAAGGCGTTTGGTAAATTGGCGAAAAGCTGCTACGCACGAGTATTCCCATGGTACCTTACCAGTTTGCACAAGCCCTGAGAAAATTGTCCCCATCGCCTTGTAGTCTAAACCTTCACCACAGTTCTGGACCACGCAGCGAATTGCCAACGACTTGGCCAAGTCCTTTACAGTTTCAGTTTTGCCCGTCCCAGCTGGCCCAGCCGGAGCGCCTCCCAAGGAAAAGGTAAGGGCTGTTGTGAGAGTCATAATACATCTGTCGGTTAGAGGGGTGATGACCAGGTGGCCATTGAGACCTTGGTACTCGTATCCGTATCTGAAGCACACGGAAGGCTGGCTCCGCTGGGTGGGATTTGTCCACCAGTGAAGAGTACATCACCTCCTAAGGGGCACCGCATTTCGAGATTTGCTAACCTGAACTTGCCAGTGCATTGCCGTATTTCAATGTCATCTATAGATATGTCCCAGTAGAAGCGCAGCTGGCTTTCCCATTCAAAGCTGTTCGCGCTAAACACCGCATTCTGGACAAACTTCTCGACAAGGTCGCGTGCATGCACGTCCAAGATAATCAGCGTGTTCACTTTCTTCCTAGCTCGGTATTCTAGTGGCTTCCGCACCACCTCAATCAACGTGCTGACCTACACAGGCGTTGCTCATCAGAACCCGTAAAGGAAATATTTTGCTTTGAGGCTTACTGATACTTTGAGTACCTACTTCGTGGGGGTGAGGCATAGGCTGCTGGACCGTTTCTGCACAAAGCAGCACGTTACCTGCTGGCGCTGAATGGCCACCTCATCACGAAGTGCATTTTTGTCTCCCTGTTCGATCCTCTCAAAGGCGTCCTCAACCCGCCAAGTCCACCAAATACGAGAACCCACACACGCCACCATGCCCAGCTGTTCGGTGATCCACTGCGTCCTGAAAGTACAATGGCTAGAACGAGGGCATTGAGCATGGAAACCACCACCAAGGAGGTGCAACCGAATTGGTACTTCGGTGGAAAAAATGCCTGAATACTCTGGGCTCACCTGGGCTCGCAACCGTACATGAACACACCCTCTTTAGCTATTCTGTGAAGGGATACTTTCATGGCCTCGTCAACTGTTGCCATCCATTCCTCAGCGGGACCTTCAGTCACTACAGGTTCGTAAAATCGGTAAGCCTCGCCTTCTTCTGACTCCATTCCACATACCTGAAAAGACGCAAAGTTTCGGCTGCCTGGGTCGCTGCTCATGAAAATTGGCAACGGTCGATGGGACTGACTGACGATCGATAATCCTTGATGTGTCAAGGAAAACGTCACCTGTCCCGAGCCATCTATTTGCAGCTTTTTACAGTTGTCGAAAAGCTTTAGCATCAATGGTTGCACGGCTTCGTGGCCACTAGAGCCAAGAACTGACAGCAGTTCATCGTCAGATATGAAGTAGAACCTGAGGGCCGAAGGATGGAAAGCTTCAAAGTGATGTGCTCGAGCCTCACCCATTACCTTGTAAGTTGTACTTTCCTCCTTACCTGGGATACATAATTCTCTTGGCGTCTAGATAGTCAGACAGGGAACGCTGGCAGCTGTCCAGCTCTGCCGCAAGGCTTTTCATCTCTCCAAGCCGGTTCTCAAGACAGAATGCAGATAAAACATTTGGATTTTCGTTCGTCTGCTTCATAATGGATAGAAACCGTCGGTTTATAACATCAAATTTCTTGGCTTCCTCAGGCAGCTGTAGACGAATATCGATAGACTCGGTGAAAATTCCATCAAGGTACATCCATCTTCGTTGTACCTGTAACAGGCAGCAGCAAACTAAAGGCTCAGAGGATGCGTGAAGCTTTTTGCCCATACCGTTTGTGTTTCTGTACGCTCCGTCTGTTTCATGGTGAACGTGCACATGGCTATCCCCTCGTCAGTCTAAGCGTAGGTTTTGTATACGCGCAGAGCAGCTGCATTACTTGTAGCCACGCGTCGAGGACTTCGCGGATGATGTTAAGCGATTTCTCCCACTTCCTAATCTTTTCCAACACAGTTGAGGCAAATCTAGATCCCAACATGGACTGAAGCTGAAGCAGGTTGTCATCCAGTAGCATTCGCAGTTCATCGTTGGATTTCAGCACATAACGACTCCCGTCATTCTTGTACTTAGCAGTCTCAACGGTTTGCTGTCTCCAACAGGACTCAATTTTGGCGATATCCTTTTCCAGTTTCATTTCTTCCTGAACACCAAGGCCGGTAATACGCAAGCGTTGCATCAGAAATTCGCCTCAGCGCCACATGTCACTCTTCTCAGGCCCTACAGTTGAGTAAGGCTCTTGAGTGAGCTGCCGTGGAGAGCTGGTAGACAAAAAAATACTTTTTACAGCGCCTACTGTGGCAGCCTGGATAATTTCGTTGACAGCATCCGGAACCCGACCCAACTGTAGATCCAATACATCCTGTAACCGTAAATTTTTGTTTTCGGCGTCGAAGTTTTGACCCGCTGCAGCCATCAGTTCTTTCCAGTGCTGGGGGCGTATGGCCTCATTCTTCAATCTCTCTATAAGGGGAAGCTCGCTTCGGAAACTGTTAATAAGTTGAGTTACTTGGATGAATGCCTGTAGAAAAATGGTTTTTCTGTAGATTGGTTCAGAACCTTGAATATAACCTTGTGAAAATGAGGATCGAGCCCTCAACTTACAACATACCTATGCGTAGGCTTGCATTCTGTCTATTACTTACTGGGGAACTGGTGACGTTAGGACCTCCACTCTTTTCCAGGCTTTTTAGTCTTTTCCTAAACTCCTCAGCGGCTTTTTGTAGTTCCTGGGTTAGTGCGCAATTTCCCCGCCGGATAGACAGCGAGTAAAGCATCAGGATTCCAGCCAGCTATTGCCTATGAGCGGCCCTGGCAGGAAGTGCGTATCAAATTAGTCACAACTTCATATTCGGAAGTGCACTCCGTGGCACCCACCTGGAAGTCCACCTTTGCCCACAGTTGAGATGCCCACTCCTTGACCATTACATCATGATCAGCGAATAGCGTAAATATCTGCCCTTGCTGCTTGACCTCCCCCTCAAGCTTATCTAAAATAGTAAAAGCAGTCACTGGAAGTGAAAACAAGTTTTCGGCATTGTTGAGCTCCGCTGCCCTAGCCTTGAACTCGACAATTTCTTCCTCTAAGGCTGTCATCGCTTGCCGTCCCTCCGCAAGTGGAGTATCTACCGAAGACGATAAATCTCGAAATTTCTGCTGAAGCGCCTTGCACGCGACCATAAAATCCGCGACCTGTTAGACATTGGCTCAACATACAGCATTTATCACAGCCTGTTCTTACGTTCCTGCCCACCCAAAAAGTCTTGGACACACTGCCAGTGCATTTTCTTACTTCCTGCTTCTTTTCGCCTGCGAATTTGGTCTTTATTGAAGCTAGCTGCCGCGTTTTGCGATGAGCAAGGTTTCGTAGCTCCTTCCATTCTCTGGGTAGAGCTGTTAAATCTGTCATTTCTGCTTGATTTATCGGGTAGTCATAACTTTGGAGAGTACTGTACATTTCGCGCATCTCTGCCAGTCGTATCTCTGCATCCATGGCACTGTCATTTATGGTTGTCACTGATTCCATAAGCACCTTGAATCTTTCCAGGGTATCCGTCTCCACTTCCAGCTTCTCCCTGCAGATCAGAAACGCGGCGACGAGCCAAGCAACGCTCAGTAAGGAAAGCCAGTATGAGTTCAACCCGAACGCCTAATAGTACATCTGTCGTACCGTCTTTCGTTAATCAATTTTTTCAGATCCAGCCTTTCCCGCTTCGCAATTTCATGAAGGGTATCTGCATATGCTCTACTTATCACGAGGGCCTGCCTTCGTATTCCATCAATGACTGTCGAGGAGTCGAGTTGAATAAAGGCAACAGTCTTTACTTTAGGTATCGAGCCTAGCTCTGCGGCAAGCTGCAAGCAGCGGTAGACACGAATTGATATCGAATGGCGGGCTGCCTTCTACTGTAATATTATCCCTATTGGGAATAACCCAACTGTTTTATTCATGTATTCACCTTGTCGTAGGCTCGAACATAAACGTCGAAATACACCAAGTTCGGTCTCTTGATCATTAATTGTTCCAGTTGAGATTTACGATCTGGGTTCCACAATGACCACTCAGCTTCGTACTTGCTCCAGTTTTTCACATACTTTGTGATGTGCTGCAGCAGGAGGACAGCTGTATGCGAATCCGAGCGCAGTCAGTTCATAGGCAACTAGCATGCGGGTCCTAGGCAACTGCGGAGGGGCTTCTGCGAGGATAGTTACCTGGAATGCCCTTTGAATGGCTTGGTGCGTTGCAACAGTGCTACTAATGAGAGCTGGTATTCGGGCAACTTCGTTGTAAAAGGTAAACTGGATTGCTGCTGTCTCGTCACCCCCTGGGAGCTGCTGTATGGGAACGCACCTGCAGCATGCGATACGCCAGAGCTGTCATATTCGCTTTGGCAGTAGGCCGTAGCTGCAATTGGTTATATCCAGTGCACAATGGGACTGTGTCGGGCACTCACTTGCAGGTTCCATGCATCCACCTCGAGAAGTTCATTGACGAGGCAATAATATTCTGCATGAGTCTGGATATGGTTTTGAAGATGGAGTGTGTGCTTCCGTGGATTACAACTTCCTTCTCATTTAACTCAGTGGAAACGCGAAGGACTGGTGGCCAGCGACACACTGAAGATGACAAGGTGAAGAAAGCTCGAAAGCGACTTGTGGCTGCAAATAGGAACAAGAGGCCCAAAAGCATCTACTGAAATCCTCTTCACATGGTGTTGGGGGTCAACTGCACTACAGTAGATTATTGTTATGTAGTGGGGAGATGTGGATTTGCTTGTTAAAAAATCCACACAAAGACACAAGACAATGTGCTAGCATACCTCGTATCAGCATTGTGGCAATAGCATTAAAAATTCGACGCTCCCAGTAGTTGTAGTAAGCAGCCATCGTTTCGCTGGATCCTGTCATCCTGCCTTCCAGTAGTTCTTCAATTTTTTTCAGATAAGATGTGACTGACTCATATCTGACTTGAAGTCCTTCAACAACACGAGCTCTGTGCTCCTCTATGTAGTCGTAGAAGTCCTGCACTCCGACAATAGAAAAAATACATGTTTTACAAAGTGCAACTCTGAATTTTCAATGAGCCAAACAAGTGCACGAGAGTCGACAGGTAAACATTATCCACCAGAAACCTACTTGTATGGCAAACGGTTCAAACGAGTCCCAATTTAGATCTCTAACCAACTGTGCTTCCTCGATTTCCTTAACAATTTGTTCAATGATTTCCACATTCTTGAACACTTGTTCACACGTAGCTTTAAAGATTGTCAACGCTTTCAGAGACGAGCCTACGAAATCCTCCAGCCCCAAGCTTGTCCAATTTAAGGTTGTAAGGCCAGGTAGAACAGCCCTGCAGAACATACACGAGGCCCAGGTGGTAGCTGAATAGTGCGCAGCAAACGCGGGCTCTGTTCTTGAAAGTGTCATATATTTTGCGTCTCTGTTTAACGAGCATGAGCAATGCGGCATCCTTCATACGCAGCCGCATCTGTCTCGATTCACAAGACACAAAGTTTATCAGGGTCTTGTGGGTTAGTTGGCAAGAGCTTGCCTATGAAGCTCAGCTATTTGCCGCGACAATAAGCTCTTATGGGCCGGGAGGATGCTGGAAAGCGTTGAGTTCAACTTGTCCACCAGTCCTTCAAGCAGAACTTGATGTTGGCAAAACCGTTCCTGGCCAGTCAGCATCCCAACGAAATCCCGATCGGGGCCCCAAGCTACAAGCAATTCCCACTGGAAACCTCCGTAATGCCTCAAACACGAACCCATGATGCTCACCTTGTGCAAAGCGACATTTACAACGGCCGCAGGGGCTTCACGCATACCAAGCTGGTCAAGGTAACGAGCTTCTTGCATAACAACCCACACGTCTGGACGGAAGTTCACGGCATATGCCCCGTTAGGTTGCCGCCGGAGGACGTATGATTTTAAGCATTCAGTAGCAGTACTTACTGCAGCAACCTGTTCAGCGATCCTCAGCAGAATCAGCAAAAAGTGATACGCATGCGTGGAATCATCTCTAGCCGCATGCATTACAGTAGAAGTAAGCATCCAATAAATGGCTTAGTAGAAGTGAGAATTAAAAGTATAGCAGATGCTTATAGACGTACCTGCCACTGCTTTACCAGGGAATTCTGGTAAGCTGTGATTGACTTTGCAAAGGAGAGGTAGTTGCCAAAGACATCCTCTGCTTGTTCAAAGTCAAACACTTCTGGCATCTGCTTGAAGGCCAAAACGCTTGCTTTGAGGGATTGTAAGAGTCCACTTGACCACAAAATGGCGCCGGAGACAGGAGGCATGTGGCTAGGTAAACAGGGGTTCTCCCGGCCTTCGTCGAATAGGTCGCGCATGCGATCCACCTCAGTGTCTGGCAGACAGCATGTTGCGCATGTCTTCCGGCATTGACACGACATCAGCGCCATATAGGACAGCGCTGAGAGCCCATGCCGAAGCATATTTAGAACAACACATACTGAAGTGCTTCAGAATGTCTACAAACTTCTCCCCAAGCTTCACGTTGATCCTTGGCCTGCTGGCAGTGGTCGTGAAATCCTTAAGCATTTCGAACGCTCCAAGAGCAGAACGCAGTCTCGTGAATTTCGTATCGAGAAACGTTATGCACTCATCTTCAAGCTCCTCTGTACGTCGCCAGAACTGCTTCACCGTCAAGAAGACCTCTTCTGAATCCTTTTCACAGAATACCCTGTCGGAGACGGAGTCAAATGATCCAATGAGAACCTGGAGATTCGCGATTCAACAATAAATCCGCAAGTCAATAGGAAAGAAAACAGGCAAAGGCGTGCTTTGTGCACTCTTCAGAGGCTATAATTGAGGAAATATCAGTCCATTGGTATCTTAAGAGTGAACAAACCTGCATTTTCTCAGTAAGTCTATTTACTGCTCGACGAGAACGAGTAACCGAATGAAGTTTGGGGCCGATAAAACGTCTGAACTGCCCTATAGTTTTGACTATTTCCTCAAACTTTGAGCACATTGAAGCCATGTAGTCTGTCGTCCGGAAAAGTTTGCGCCTGTCGAATTCCCATCTGAGAGCATAGACCTGCAGCGAACTTTTTTTAGTGGCTAAGTGCAATGGAGGAGGGAGCGTTGGTTTGTGGAGCCAACAGAATTAGCACCTACGTTCCCTTAATGCCCCCCAATACACGGAGAAGCGAAAGGACTATCCGGCCCCAAACGTGTGGCAGACCTTCTGTTGCATTCCGACTCTTCAAGTCGGGACCTCATGTTGAAGTACTCTGCTTTCCATGTTTCGAGTAAGACACGCGATTGTTGCAATATCGTGCTAGCCTCTTCAACATCGTTCCGTAGGAGTTGCTCTACGCAAACGTCTTGACGAATGCGAATCTCCAACTGGCGGCAAAGCCACAGATAGAGCAGAAATATTCTACGTCCTTTCTAGCGTTCCAATTTTTAATCCTAGTTCATGGGAAGACTAGCGCATGCAGCGCTTTTTGAACTAACCTGGTAAGCAATCCTCTCCATTAAGTTTTGCATACGTTCGTCGGTGGTGTAGTGTCTTGATGTTACCCAGACCATCCGCAAAGCGTTCATCAGCGAGGCAATCGTGTCAGCCATGGGTCCAAGCGGGCTCGTTCCCAACGTTGTGAAATACCTGAAGACTCAGAAGCCTCGACTCAGCGCTTGCAAGAAACCTAACTCGCTCCTTACGAATTTCAGGCGCCCTTGGTCGAGTTGCACTAAGCAATCGACGGACTAAACAACTAAGTGAGTAGAACAGGCTGACGAATTTCTTTTGGCCCGACCTCTCGAGAGTTGCCAGGAAGCGAACGTTGCTCATGGACTCAGTATGCAACTGCTGCAGCTCATTCAAAGCCTTCTTAAATGATTGCGAAACCGTTGAATCTGGCTGGGCCTCTTCAAACTGTTGTATTGCCTGCTGACACTGCGGCGCGAGAAGCTGCTCGTAGAGCAAGGAGACTGCAGTGTACCTAGAGATATCAGCAGCTCAGCACGCAGGCATATACGGTCTTTCTCATGGGAAACATAGGCGAAAGCATTAAAGCTTCTATGTACATCACCAAGCGAAATGGCTTGCAAAAAACGGATCAAGCTATATATTATTCAGCCCATCTGGCAAATAAGGCAGGGCATCAACCCGTTACCTGTCCCTCCAAAAATTGACCTCTGACACCGGCAAAAAGCAGTCGTGCTCGCGTTGGCTCTCAGCCTCCAAGAGCTCCAGTATCAGCTTCGGCAAACCAGCAAGCCAGAGTACCATTTCACCGATTGGAACGCTCCAGTCAGCTGCAAGGTGCATCGTGCGATCTGACCCACAAGGACTCCCTGTTGCTAAATGGGAAGCTGTTGTAGCTCACGTTTCGCCACTGTGTTATTGTTGCTTCTAAATTGGCATTGTCGGCTGGACGCTCATCGCCCGAACGAGAGGATGTATCTACAAACGGCATTGGGAGAGGAACTGCCATTTTATTTGATGCCGCCTTAAGATGCACTAGTAGCTCCTGAGTGGCACTGAGCGCTTCACTCTTGCATTCTGGGTCCAAAAAGGGGACGCTTGCGTCCGGAGTACTCTCGTCCGGCGCTTCATCGGCTGCAACGTATTCTTCTGTAGGCCCTGCTGTGCCCACAATGGAAGCACTGGTTTTCCTTTCTGCTGCCGATGTTGACGCGAGCCTGCTGGGCGATGATGATGCTGCGGATTCTTCGTAATCATCGTCCTCTCCATCAAGCAGCTGGCGCAAGGCATTTCAGTTGCACAGAGACAGTTGCAGGAAAACACTCCATTTATGCCTGTTTTGGCCTTTGTTAGACGATGCATAGTGTGCAGTGCAATTTGGGGGTTGTCGAAATACCGATTCGGTGTCTGGTGGGTGGGAATCGGTAGAAGAGGAGGAGCCAAGCTTCCCCTTCAGTTTCATGCATTCGGGTGAAGCTGGCTTGCCAGCAATGGCAGGAGCAGCTGCGGCCTGCTCAACGTCAGCGCTAATGATGGGTTGAGGCTCATAGGATAGAAGCGGCACCAAGAAACCCTCCAAAATGTGGGTCAGATCCTCTAAAATGCAGGGCCCAACGAGACCGACGAGCATACAACGATTCATCTCTTCCACGCCCTGAAACGGAGCAAACAATTTTTTTCAATCTAGTCCTGTGCACTTCCTGTTCGTCTTCTCGAGACTGACCAGGGGATGTCCTTTTGCAGAAAGCCGCATCTGCGCGGTCACATCAGCGGCTATTAGAGCGGATTATGCTTTATTATGAGGTCGTTTTACCTTTCCAGTCAAGTCTATTGGCCCAGTGCAGAGCCTCAGTGCATATACGTGGGCGGTTGGACCCTTTGATGACGTGATTGGGCAAGTGTGCATCTCGAGGAACTCTCCCTGTTAGAGCCAGACAGCAAGGCGCACGCTGCTGGTAGGACCCTCGAGAAAAACTTTCGAAAGCTGAGGACAGGAAAAGTTGCTCGTTTCATCTCGAGAAGCGAAACATGCATAATGAATACATTGGTCATCTTTGCCAAAAGCCGAGGACGCGTTTAGAACGAATTGATAGGGGAGATAAAGCCGTGTATGCACGGTTGACAACGGAAGCAGCTACATAGTTGTCTGGCTGTTCCTCTGTCAGTTCAGAAAGGAAGCAGCCAAATCTCCAGACGAGAGGCTCTGGACTCACTTGAGAGCCTTCTGATTTGGTGAAGGCAAAAAACAATGCTGTCCCTGCGGTCCCCGCTTCTAAGAACTGCTCCAACTGCTTGTCAGCCTTTTGACTATCCTGCGCTCCAATACAGCCCACACTACAGGCGGTGTCCGCCGTATGTGAATGAGACAGTTTAAATGGCTTGTTTGTTTAGAAGGTTTTACTTCACTACTCCACTGTCACACGCCTTGAGAACTACAGAACCTCTACGTTCGGTAGCTACCACCCATCTGGGGTTTGCATCCTAGATGATAGAGAATTATGCTGCAACCATCTGTCTTATGCTCTTAAGGGTTTGCTACAACACAATGCAGATGGGGAAGGGGTCACTGCACGAACGGAGTAGCCTGGCTAGCGCCGCTCCTCGGAATCTGCATCAAAAGTGCGTGGTTAGCCCAAGAAGGGCTTGCCCTGACTAAGACTAAAGGCTCACTCTGGTTATAAGGTTGTTCCATGCGGTGGAGTCCTGCAAATTTAGGACTCCCATGACCTTTTTCTTAATCCAAGATTTCCTCGCGTCGAATGCCATCTTCCCGTGTTCGTCGTTGCAGGCGATAACTTCCAACTAAATCTAGAAGTTCGTGTCGCCTAGAGCAATATGGCACTATGAATATCAGTGCTGCACCTATGTTGAGCAGACCAGGCTCTCCTTTACACGAAGTTAGGTTCCACTATTGTTGGAGGTTCCCCGTTGTCTTGGATGCACAGCACAAGGAGCTATTCTTATCTTGACGGGACACCTCCACGGTTGCAGTGGCGCGTATGACAAAGTTTTAGCACAGGCTTCCACGCTGCCTTCTGCGCATGTAAGTGGTGGAAGTAACCGGGCTGGCCGTCGCGCACGTCATAGGACGAAGTTCTGGCTAGGGCGAGTAGCGCCACTCTCCATGCCCATGATAATACTGACAGTAATAGGCACAGTGGTTTGCTGCAATATATTTAGCTTCTGGTTCCCTGTGTGTTGCTGCAGTTCATCGCACCAGCTGAACGCTACATCTGACCGACTTGGCCACTACAGCCTAAAAACTATTGACTAGAAGTAGTGCATCCAACAAGCATTGCCTTCCACTACACAAAGTGAATATTCTCCCCCAAAGTCTCAACAGTTCAGTAAAAATTGGCCTCCTGGTGCGCAGATGAACCTGACGGTCTGGGGAGACAGCAGTACCACCCGAAAAAACGGCGTTGCCGCCGATTATGCCAAGAGCTACAGCGCATAAGTTCTGTTTGAAGGAGACGAGGGATATTAATTATCCATAATTAATGTTTTAGTAGACAGACAAAACATTCACTAGCCGGTCACATGCTCTAATCGCATACGGCCGGATTCTGCCTGGTGGTAACTGGGAGAGCGGTAGCCTAGACAAACCTCCTTGTGCTGCGATGCATATATCTGGCATGGCGGGCAGCTGGGCTTTTGCTGAATATCGGAAAAGGAACATTACTGTCATAGTCCGGGGAACACTGGTTGTTAGTGCTGCATGTGCACAGCGAGGCTGCAGCCTGATAGACCAGACCAAGGGCCACAGCAAGAAGATTCTGAGCAGACTCAACAACGCCATTTCTTCTGTTCTTCCAGAGGTAGGTGTATTCCTATTGTCTTATTTTTCACACTGGGAGCAAAAGCGGCGCTTGGCAGCAAGTCTGCCGCTCTGGCCTAACATTACCCCCAAGAGCATGATGTCTGTGTTGTTATGCACAATCCCTCACGAGCTACAGCAGTTCGCCTACAGCAGGCCCGGCCACGGATACAATGCAACCGCTTGAAGGGGCCTTCGACCACTCCAAAAGCCTGGCCGCACTGCCTGCTTCCCCGCGCCCACCGGGCGGCGAATGCGGCAACATGTGGAGAGGCTTCGACAGCAGAGAAGTATTGACTCTCATCTTACAGACACTTGACGAAATGGGGTACAGGTAGGCGGGCGAGAAACCAGCAAGCAAGCACTTTTGAGCAATTCCTGACTCCTCATCAGTGGACCAGCGACCGGTGCAACTGCCCTCCCCGGCGTTTCGATTTCCTCTTTTCCTCCTGTTCGTGTCCGTCAGAGACATCGTCGCCTCACTCGAGAAGGCAAGCGGAGTTGAGCTGCTTCAGCCTGACATGCGCAAGCTGCGAGGGAGTATTCTAGAAGGGAACTGGCTAGAGGCTGGCAGGGCTCTGCTTCGCCTGCCCCTCGAGCCGCTCACTAGGCAGGGTTGCTGGTTTTTGCTTATGCAACACAAGTTCCTGGAGACAATTGTAGACCCTGGCACTTCTTTAGACGCAAGAATCACGTGTCTAAGAAGTGAGGAGAACACCACGGCCGTTCTGCCAAATTCCGGCTCTCGCTTGCCTTTTCTGACCGATCCATTTGCTCGCCGAGTAAGCCTCTTCGAGTGCTTCTTTCGTGTGCATCCTGTGTGCGCAGATGACTTGAGTGTGGCGGCTTTCGACGCTGCAACGACGGAGAGGGTCCACGAGTGTGCGGCGCTGTTGATGTATGAAGGCAGTGACCTCCTGGCGCATGTCCTGCAGATATCTAGCTTGAGCAGGAGTCAGCTGTTTAGCCGCATTACTTGCCTCTTGCCGGCATCTTTAGCAATGCAGCCATCCATGCTGGCAACAATTATGGATCACGCTCGTCGGTTTCAAATTCTATCTTGTCCTTTGCATGTTGAATCTCCGGGCACCCTGCGCGAGAGCGTCATCGAGCCTCACCGTTGCGAAGTTCCCCTTCTTCCGCAGTGCTGTGTCGGCTGTCTGCATGCGCATCGCAAAGAAGTGTGGACGGTGGCAGTAGCTCCCAAGCAGTCAAACAGAATGGAAACGCTTGTAGCTTCGGGGTCGGCGGATCGGTCGGTCTGCGTGTGGTTGTTAACTACAGACACCTCAACATGGAATAAAAACTTTTCAGACGAATTAAATGCAACAGAACAGTTATCTACCACTCAGCTGGGTGCTCGGTGGCTAACTACATGGTTGGAAGGTGACACGGATTTGCTGATGCGGCTGGAGCAGACGCAAGCCCGACCGATGCTGGAGAACGGAAATGTCATTGGCACTTGCAGGCTGCTGTGGCGGATGCAGCGCCTTGGGAGTGCAGCAGCTTTCCTCGACTGGGACAGCACTGGAAAGCTTCTTGCTGCTGGAGGGGAGAATTCATTCATTGAGGCTTGGGAAGAAGGCCGAAGGATCGGCGAGTACTGTACCCACAGCGGCTCTCTCGTTGGGCTGCAGTGGGTACCCGGTTCTAGGAAATTGATTTCCATGGCTACTGACCGGACCATGACTCTAGTTTCTATCCAAGAGTCAACTCTGAACACGACGCACGTCGTGGAATATGAATGGATTTTGCCTGGCAGGCCTCAAGAGGGGTTCTTGCTACCCGGTTCGAATAATATGATAATCTTTTTCTCCGATCGCCAAGTCAAGTTATTTGACTTAGTCACGAAGGAAGAAGCTCCTTGGTAATATAGGAGCCCCACATGCTTTAGTTAGGCAGAAGGTGTTAATTTTGCTGTACTGGGTATTGCTGCTGACTTGGTGGCGATGCAGATGGAGCAACGGATCCGCGTTCATGTACAACTACACGGAAGAACTCGAGAGGACAGTTAGGGGTTGTATTTTTGGGTGTATGCAGGGAGAATGGCAAGGATCTTGTCATTGCAGCGTGTCCCTCGAAAATCTGCAACCAGATATTACTAAGCACAGCAAATTCTCCTCCGGTGAGGCCCCGTTTCCTCGTTTCCCAGAACAGCAAGCGGTGCAACCTTTTGCCTACAGGCAGAATGAATGCTTGCACCGAACGTTGAGTTTTGGTAGACGCGGTAGAGAACAGACTTGGTCATGTTTCCCACTTTCGTACTTGTGAAATCGTGCCAAATCTGTTCCCGGGGGAAATGCAATTTCATGTAATGACTGAATTAAATAGGCGAAGGGCGCATCTGTGGTAGTAGGAGTAGTTTTCTAAATTGCAGGCTAGGCCTATTCGGTTCGCCTCCTTGAGCTGCCCCGCATTTCGTAGTCTGCATTTCTCTTGACATTCTGTAGGTATTGCGGCTTTGGGACTTCGATGAACGCAAAGTTGTGCAGAAGTACAGAGGGCACAAAGTGGGGAGGCTGGCCATTCGTCCAGCCTTTGGCGGTGCCCACGAGGAACTTGTCATATCTGGCTCAGAGGGTAATCCATTGACTGCTCAGCTGTTACATGCTTGTGCCGTGGTGTGTGAAGGATGCGCTCTACCAATCTGCAGATAGCACTACTTTGACGTAGGGCACGTTAACTGCACCACAAGGCTTCAAGGTAGGCGCGCTGTCTGGCTGTACGTTGGTTGCCTTCAGATGCGCAAATATGCATCTGGCATCGTGTGTGGGGCTGCATGCTGCAACAACTCAAGGGCCATGCGGCAGCAGTCAACCAAGTTGCCTGGATAAACTCGTGCGGCCCCGTATGTCTGCTTTCGGCGGGCGACGACGGCGTGCTGCTGCTGTGGAGTTTGGCGACAACTGGACGTAAGTTCTCTGTCACCACATTCTTCGGCTGTTGCATGACATATCTGTTCGCCATGCATTAGCCTTGCCGCACAGTGTTTCTTGTCACGACGTGGTACGTCCACAGGTCAAGAGAGCATTGAAAGCTCCTCCAGCCGCCGCAGCCCAGATTCGGACCCAGGACGACCCACGCCCGATGAAAGCAGCGACTAGTGACGGATGTTCTGCCTAAAGGAGTTGTATGCTGTGGTCGTAGCATCTGGAAGTGTGCCTGCATGTGTGGCAGGCTATCAGTGTCGCACTGGCCTTCGTGGGCGGCCGCTGGGGAATTTCGCCATCGTGGAGAGTGACCGGGTTCGGGCAGTATTTCGAAGTGTTGCGCTCTTTGAAGTTCCGAACTCTTGTCTGCAAGCACATTGTGTTGCCATTAGAAGCTGGTTTAATCTTTTCACGGGTTAAATGTTGTTTGTACTTTTCAACACTTGAATCCACACTTGAATATGTTCCGCTGAACAGCACCGTGTGCAAGTCTAAGGGCCATGCTGCAGCTACGTGTGCGATATGATGCCTTGCAACTAGCTAGCGGCAGGCAGCAGTTTGACACACACCGCGCCCTGCTTGAAGCAGACCGATGTCAAGGAAAAGAGGGACCCATTAACTGCGTTATTTTGGCCCAGCACTTGTAAAGAGGCTGCGCGTTGACCCAGCATTTCCCCAGCACCGGTTACGTATCCACGTGCAGAGACACCATTCGTAGGCTAGTCAAATTATGTTGTACACTGGAGTTCAGTTGGAGGGTACAACTGCAGGTAGGCAATAGCGAGAATTCCTGTACGCAATTATCAGCGTGTTCTCGGGGGAGGGTAAATGTTCAGTGATCCCCTAGGCATTTGCCCTCCCCAGAGACCACCCTGATAATTGCTTAGAGTGCCAGAGCACTCTGCGGCCACCTACCGAGCCTTAGGAGGGAGGAAAAGCGGTACTTCAGCAGCTTAGTTAGATGTCTGTCCTCTACAGCTTCATTTGCAGGAAGACATTGACATAAAGTAGGTCCCTAAAACACTGCAGGTAATTTCCAGCTTTTTAAGAGGCGAGTCGCAGAGCCGCCGTTTGTAGCCGCCATTTTATTATGCAGACCCCACTAAGTACTGTGAATGCACATTCAGCGAGATCTTCACTGAATGAAGGTTAATGCCGCTCGCATCTGCTTCGGAGCGAGTTCCAAATTTAAGCATTGACCTGCTGCATACGGCAAACGAACTTTCCAGGGCTACATCCAGTGGCACCAGGGCTGCGGCTAATCAACGATAAACTAGAATGGGATTTTGGCCTGCCGCCGTCCAGCCGCTAGCGCCCGTTCTACGGGGACGACGAATTGCTTCCCCAGAGGCCTGAGAAACACAGTTAAAGAATCATTAGTATGTTCGAATGGGCGGGCAAGTAGCTTCCACTCGACGACTAACCAGACACGCCGCTGTTCTCATGCACGAGAAATGTAATTTGTAGTACTACACATTCATTGCATAATGGGCTGCGTACCTCCTCACGGTAACTGTGTTCCTTTCCTGGTCTGTCGTACCCAAAAGCCAAACCTCAGGAGTGCGGTACTTTATGTGAAGCCTGAAAGAAAGAAAGTGCGCCTGTTGTTGATGGCGCTGGAGAATGGCTTAAAACCCAGGACAGCGGGGCTCTAGGTTTCGAAATAATTCATTCCTCAAAGGGGAGCATTCGCAAGACCACAAGTAACGCACGATGCTGAAACAGCCAAGCCTTGTCTTTCGGTATGGCTTGATTACGAAGACGAAGTTTCTATCTTGTGCATGGGAGGGCTACGGGCTTGGCACAGTGAAAGGGAGCGAAAGCTGCTGGGCTGCTAGTCTTGGGCTTTGATATACAATTGTGAGACAGGGTCCACAATTTAAAGCAACAGTTTTGTTCCACGGATTGCGCTCGGCTTACTTTAATTTTTTCGAAATATGAACTGGCCGTTTGTCCAAAGACACACGCACCTTTGCCCGGCGTAGGCGCCTAGATAGAGCCTCCGCAACAGTAGTTTGCGCCTCGCCAACACTCAGCACTGCCACCTTCATCCATAAATATCGAAAGATACGAATTTTGTTTTAATGTGCGTATATTGCAGGCATACGTTTCAGCAAAAGCGATAGATAACTGTACCACTCATATGTAATCATTTGCCTTCAGTACCATACCTGGACGGGTGCCAGCCAAGAAGGCAAATGACCGTCTAAATGCTCCAAAACAAGGCCAAAAAAGCGCTCAAGGGAACCACACATAGCCCGATGCAGGAGACACATACGGTCATTGCTAACGGCCGTGGGCTCAAGACCGAAGTTCTTGGGGGAAAACATATCGACCTGCAAAAGCGCGGGAGCGTTTCCAACAACACGAAGGAGATACACTCTGCTTCGACAAGTGGCTGCAAGGCTGCCCTACTAGGCAAGAAAAATAACGAATACAGCTGGTGAAAATGTCCGACGTCACATAGCGTGCGCTAGGTACCTGCAAAGTTCCTGTTTGCCACAGCCGTCCCTCTACATCTGGAAGGTGGATGTCAATCTTTGGGCCATAGAAAGCGCCTTCCCCTGAGGCTACCGTGAAAGGTATGTCAAGTTGTTCCAGCGCGCTACGCAGCAGCCCCTAACAAATGCATTAAAAAGCACTGAGGCATTCGAATGATTCTAACCGAATGGTGGGCGGCTCTTTCCTGCATCCCGTTTTCCTTGTAAAGGACTCGACAAAGCAAACTGACGACGTGGAAGGCTACCGAACGAGGGGCTGGTATTGTAAAGGGAACACGAATATACTGCCACTCACTTCGGCACGGGCCCATTCTTGTTCTGAACCTTGGCTGCTTTTCGGCCTGAGAAGGAAAAAACATGTGCACTGGAGCCTTTTCCGTAGCGCTGCCAGTAACTCCAGTTTTCTGAGGCTGTGGATGAGAGGAGGCCCTAGCATTCCAGCCTACACGAAGTGGACGAAGTTTTACCTCGTCGAGATGTGGTAAACGATTTCACCTTTGCAAAACCCCACTGCCTTGTAGAGCTTTTGGCACGCCAAAAGAAATGCCGTTACTTCTGCCAAAACTTGAGACATGCGACACAAAATATGGCCATCGTCCTAAAGTCGCAAATATTGACAAAGCCCTTTCTCCACAGTGCAGGCGCCTTGCCAGCTTCTTGTGCATCCTTCCCTGCTAAGAGAACCAACGCGCGCTGGCGCATGCGAATACCCATTCTATGTACTGGCAACATATTCGCAATGCTCCAACAACTAGCATCTGCTGGTTCTCAAAAGATAACGAATCTCTGAAAGCAAACCCCATTCCCATCTTAAAAGGCAACTGCCATACGCATTTCAACGCAGAAAGCTTATATGTGCTCTTAAGAAGCACCATATAGTTAAATACACGCCATCTATCTTTGTCCTTAAGAAGAAAAACTACTCGCATTTTGGAGGCGATTTCAAGCTAATGATACCTGAGTGAATTCGCGCATTCGCAGGAGGCCACAGAGGGCACTGGGTACCTCCCGCCTATAAACATGTCCAAATTCGCATATGCGTAGCGGCAACTCACACCCCGATCGAACCTGAACGTGAAAGAAGAACACAGTTGAGCACACCCTTCTCATATCGACTCAAGATGAGATGTAGGGCAGAAAACACGTTGAAGCGGCACGCTGGAGCAGACCTTGTTTGCGCTTGTGGTGCGCTTGCTCATACAAAATCACAGCTGAAATTTAAACACTGCACCCTCAGAATTGAACCCTAACGCCTTAAACCCTGACCCCTATCTTCCAAGTCCTACGGAACGATCAAAGAAATATGAAAGATGTAGAGGGCAGCTCATTGGCTTCAAAAGGTAAGACGCCCCAGTGTCGTTAGTTGAGGAGGGCAACGACCCTTCTTGCTGGAGCATATTCACGTTGTAAGATTTCCCTGTGCCAGGGTCATTCCTTCTTTCTGCCGGGGTTGCAATTTCGAACATATTTTCCGCAAAGTGCTGCATGTGGCCGCTGCGATGCCATAAATTGGCTTGGGCCAAGGATCCCGTACGGACCTGAGGTGCAAACATAAACTTATACTGGGTGGACAATAGGATTGTAGTAACTCAGGCATGCGCTTGTGCAAGAGAACCTAGTGCATTTCTAGGCCCCAAAGGAGCACGGTGCGCTTGCAGAGAAAAAGCAACTTAACCGCTCATTTTGTGTTTCTGGTCACCTCCTCAAATCCATGTTCTGCTTGTATATTTCGCAAAGCTTGCTGCAGCTGCAGCATGCAACACAGCCCTCTTGGCAGCAACGCAGGCCCTAGTCCGCACATCGCCCCGATTTTCGGCTTAGGGAAGCAGAACAGATCCATCATCGTGCCTAATTTTCTGTGATCTCTGCGGCCCTGCTGTCCCAATAAAATGTCCTGCCCTCCATGCGCCGCATTTTGGTCATCTTTAGGATCCTCTCCATTCAAAGCTACGGCAGCAAATCCCTTCACCGTCCTGGACGGGTCCCGGAAGGCTGCTTGACCTCTTACTGCTCGCCATGAACGCCGCCATCCAACTCCCCAATGCAAAGGAAAAGATGGAAATCGTGCTTCTTTAGCCTGTAGCTCAAATGCATTCACTCCGTCTTCTAAAGAGCACCATGCTAGAAACCCAAGGACGAACAACATCAGCCGACACGCTGCGGCCTTACGGTTGCCTTGAGGCTGCATTTCGGGTGGCGGGAAGCCTATTTTTAAGAAACTCCATGCCTTGACAGAGGAGAAAAGTGAAGTTCATGGGTGTAAAGTGTGCGTGCTCATACAACAAGCTCTGAAGAAGCAGCCCATCGTAGAACCCCTTCGGCTCCTGTGCACTCGCGGAGCACAGAAGTAAACCGACGCATGTCTTGGGACTCTCTCTTCGAAGCAATATCGCAACTTCCTACACCTACTTGCAAAAGGAAGTGTAGGAACGGAAGGCTTGCACGGCGTGCGGGGGGCGGCCAAGAAGACAGTTCACCCCAGCGAAGAACTCCCCCATGAGTAATCAATAGACGGTGGGGGAAAATCTGCATCAGAATTGGTCTTCAAATTGATAGCAGTCAAAAACTAATGAAGAAATGTGCTTTACTGTAATTTATGGAGGGTAATTCAACCCGCTGTTAGACCGCATTGGCAAACGAGTGTGAGTGGCTTCCATTCGGGGCCTCGGCAGATCTGGACCGTCGCCATCTCGCAATTCAGGGGTCGCCGCACCATAACAATAAGGAAACGGAGTTAAATTTGAACTTTTTGCCGTAACAACCCCCTCCAGGTTGCTCTGAATGGGGGACAAGGGTGTATGCACGCCTTATTCGTCTCCTGTGTGGTCAGACTCGGAGCGGTCTGTTCAACGTCAGCGGATTCTGGAAGCGTTCACGTAGCACAGAAGCGATAAACCTATTATTTGTTAACACGACTTCATTTTTGAAGATTTCTTCTCCCTGCCGTTTGTACAGTTTGGGCGAGTTTCCAACTAACCATGGTTGGCCCATCGATCGCCAGCTCGCATCAGCTGGCATGCCAATCTCATCACTCGAACCACAAGCAGTAAATCTCCACTGCGTTGTATTCTCCGTTGTGCAATTTCTGTTCAGTGTACACCTTGTTTTCTGCTAACTACCTACTTTCGCCTGAGACGCCTATTTGCCGCGCTCGCACTGCAGAAGTGGATGGGTAGTATGGACTTCAATTTTTTTCGTTGACAAGTGCAACTTATTTTGTAAAAACGCCGGAGGGGGGACCGGCTGGATTTTCTCTCGCTGAAATTCAGCAGACGGACAACCCTGCCGCCTCATGGAGAAGACGACGCTCACAACCGCAACTTCTCTGAACGCCCACGGAGAAGCATCAACTTTCGATGGCGCCGCCACAAGGAGGGTCGCGCACGCTGCAGCCAGCAGGCAGCAGGCATCAGCCAGCGGTGCACCTCAGGGCTCCGGGGCATACCTCTCGGATGCGGGTGGTTGAGGCACCAATCCTTACACCGCGGCTTGTACCGGCAGCAACGAGCAGCAGGAGGGCCCTCTCGAGATGCAGAATTTTTTGTCTTGTGCTACACGTGCTGCTTCTGCTCATACTGATGCAGAATTCGGCGTTTGCTGCTGCGTTTCACAGCCCAAGTGGGTCAGCCGGCTTGCCGTTGGCTTCTGGCGTAGCAAGAGGAGCAAATGCGCCAGCCGTGGATGCGGAAAATAGCTTAAAGCCCGTCAATTCTATACCAAGATCAACCACAAATGTTGTACAAGCCATCAAGGGGACCCCTGCTGATCCTGGCCAGAAAGGGGCCCCTGCTCATATCTCCAGCAGCGCAGATGCACAGGAGGGCCGCGACGGTCGGACGGTCAAAGGGAAAGTGGCAGGTGAAAGCCCTGCTGTGCCTCCGGGACTGGTGGCTGACAGCAACATATCCATCAGACGCCCGTGAGTTCGCGTGCATCCACGAAAATTGCCTTGAACTTCATGTTTGCATGCTCGCAGAGACTTCGATTCCTAGAAGCTGTACATCAAAATGCAAACCCTAAGGGTAGTATATTTCATGCATACGCTGGCACTGCATGCGTGCAACACATTTTTATCAGCTCTCTGCAACTGTGTAACATATCTTTCCTCGCTGGGCAAGCCGCTGGGAAGGCTGTCTTCCCCGCACTTCAAAGAGGAAGTGGAACAGCGGGAGCTATAAAAAAGCATACCAACGCATGGGTCTTGCTGCCGTGCTCTCTCGAACTTTGGTCTGTAGTTGTATTTTCTTCTCGTGCCTCTATGCGTATGTTGTTCTCGCGTAGCCGGCTTGTGCCTTCCTTGTTATGCCGTGCCTTCTATTCAAATCCTGCATCGTCTCTAGCAGCGGCATTCTTCGCATTTTTTCATAAATGTTCCCACGTAGAGTGCGCGGTGTGCGTTCAATAACTACAGGACGCGAATAGGCTGGCAGCTTGAAAGCTTTTTAAGATAAAGTGGATGTCGTTCTCTGTATTTAGTGTGACTGGTGTTCAAATGCGTCTTCCCACATTTCGGGATGGTAATGCTGTCAACTTCTTTTTGTGTTAGGTTTGATTTGCTACGGAGAGCAGCCGCACGTTTTGGGAATTATCCGTGGTTGCTGACAAGCGAGCAGGATGGGGGAGACGGCCTTGTTGAGATTACGTACAGACAAGTGAGACAGCCTGGATCTCAAGTCACTATATAGTCGTTGCAATTCCTGGAACTTTCGGTGTTTAGGGCTGTAGGCCAAGCTTCCCCTTCATAGGATTCCTGGAAGGTTTCGCTGTGCGTCGATTTGCCTACTGTGGCTGTTGCTCCGCTTGCGGCTGCTGCTGCTCTTGCTGCTGCTGCCGGTTCAGGGATACGCAGTGGCTTTGGCTGTGGGATCGGGTCTGGATCGTCTAGTGCCTCCTTCTCAACTCCCGCAGCGTGACGGGGCCAACGAGCCGCTGCGTCTTGTGGGCACTTGGGCTGCTAACTCTGTGGAGCTGCTCCTGGCGGACTTTGGAGGTAGGGCGTTGTTGCGTTGCCAAGATTCTTCTTTCGACTATGGCCGTCACCAGCGTCAGTGTTGTTCTGGGTTTACGGTTACTGCTGCTGCCGTTGCTGCTGCCATTTTTCGTCGTTATTGTTGTTGTTGCTGCTGTTCTCTTTATTTCTACTGCTTCTGCTGTCAAGGGTGTGTTTCTTCTTGTTGTTGCTAATTATTGGTTTACTCTTATTGCGTCGTCCCCGCGTCATGTGTTCCTGTTGCTGTTTTTCGCGTCATTGTTACTGCCGTTCCCATGTTGTTAACCACTCGAAAGAGCAACAGTGCAGTGTATAATTTGGATCAGTAAAGGGAACGCATACGCATGATTAGGAAGCTATCTACAGAATCTCTAGCGCATAGGCACATGCTGCATAAACGCGCTCATACACAAGCGTTTCAACGATGGCATGCGCATGCACATAAACATGCGCAAGCACGCAAAACTGGTGTGTGTAGACCTACTTTCGTATGCATATGGACACGCGAGGCACTGCAGGCTCATGAGCCCTTGGTAATTATAAATGTCGTGCAGCCATCTCAAGAACTGTAATGAAGGGAACCGGTTTATCCGAGCCTCTGCCCGTATATGTGCTTGCATGCATAGGCCCATGCTTCTAGGCACAGTTACCTGCCTACTTATTTGATAGACGCGTGGTGCCTGGGTGCTTAATTGCGTGCTTGAGTATATGTGTACACGCAAGCTTCATCAATGTTGGTGTGCAAATTTGCTTTTTGTCGTATTGCTTCCTCGGAGACCAGCGGGGGCCTTTGGGATGACCGTGGTGCCAATGCATCCGGAAATGAACGCCCGACGGTTTTTAGAAGTTATGATTCATACGCGTGAGTTGATAAAAATTCAACCCTTGCAGGCACAGACCGGTCACGTCTTTAAAAGCGTGTGTTCTGTATGTAATATGTAGATGCAGATGTATATGCGTCGGCATCCATGTGCCGAACGCATAACAAGGCTAAATATAGCAGTAGGAGTAGAGAGGGAAATGTAGAGTGGGGCAGCTGCGTTTGCGTTATGCGTGGTGTCAGAAATGACCCACCTTTGTACAGACTGGAGACATCTGGAGATAGTCTTAGACCTTCGAGAAGGAGGGCAACTCTCTAATTTGTCGGCTTTAATTACACTTGATGCGGTGGGGTTCCCCCTTCTCACGCCACTTAGCTTATTTTCGTCGAGGCAATGCGGTGGTTGTTTCCTATTGGCGTTGCAGTGGTTTCTCGTTTGAAGCCTGGTGCTATATACGAATTGTGCTGCCAGAGTAAAAGCAGAACACTACGTTTGTTTAGACTTATTTGCATTTCAGTGTGTTTCCTACAGCCTCTCTGCGTTTGGCACAAGTTTGCAGATCGAGTGCCGTGACAGATGGGGCCTTTCGTGCATTTCACTCCCCCAGGAAATTATCGATGCATATCATTTAGTATCGCTGCCAACAAATGCTGCTGTGCAGGTGGGGGATCAAGCAATGCAACGGGCGCATGCCCTCGATTTGACCCTGGTGGACTTCTGGGAGTTGGCTGATTCCCCCAATGTGCGGCGTAGCAGACTAATTTTCGTCGTTTACTGCCAAGGAATTCCCATGTGTACTGTTTTCTAAGTGTCAGATAGTGTCTTGCCTGCACCTGCAGTGAATCCGCAGGGATTCCCTAAACGCTTTGCTTGTGCATATTGCACCTGTCAGATACTAGGATCGCACATAGACAAATCTAAGACACACTAGAACCTGAGTTCTAGCCCCAAAACCTCCAGAGACTGCAGTGGCTTCGAATGTCACGCTTGCACGAGTTCGGCTGCTGCTGCAGTTGCTGGAGTTGTTGCAGCTGCAGCAGCCACACGAGAGGAATCTGGCGCCGTTGGCTCGGGATAATTGGAGGGAAGTCAACCGTGGATTCTTCTGCTTTTGCTGCTGCTGCAGGGCATAGGGGAACAGAGGTTGAAGAGTCTGCACCGGTCGGGATTCGACACTCAGGAAATTGCTGCCGTCATTTATCCAAGGGGTCCGCATCTGTTTTGGTAGCTGGTTACTTTTGCATGAGTACATTCTGATAGTCACGTTTGGATGGAGCTCGCTTACTTCAGTTAATATGGGCTGTGCTTTCGGTGCACCAACACAATGATCAGTGATCAGTGTTCCTAGGGTTCGTTATGCACATCTTTCGGGCTTGTTCAGAGAGCATTCAAGGCGTATTCCAGGCGGATGTACTGAGGTATACCTTAGGTGCATACGCTGCGTGCCCAAACAGGCCAGCTTACAGCGTGTGCGGTGTGCATACTTTGGTCTTCTTTTTCATGGATGCATGCATCTGCGATAAATAAGTTTAATTTGCTTATTCTCTTGTGCATTTTGTGGTATTCAAAATTCCTTTTCTATGTGCTCGACTTTCTGTCGTTTCTTTTAGCGCTTTCTATGCCATTTAACGGAGCTATGTTGACAAACGAAAACGTCCTGGCCTCCCTAGACACCCTGACGGACTGGCGAGCTAGGGCTCTTTCTATTGTGGAAGGTACGTCATGTTGTGCCGTTTGCTGACGCCGCTTCAATGCACCTGCTTCGCTTCTTTAGGTCTTTATTTTCGCCTGGGCATGCAGACTCTATTTTGTTTATTTCGTTCGGTTGGCTTGAGCTATTTTGCTTGTTTAGCTTAACTTGATCTTCCTCGGTCATTGTCTCCGTTTTTGCATGGAGATCGAGTTTGTTGCATGCAAACAGAGGGGGGCAGACTAGATGATAACGAACCTGTTGCACACACGCGGACAGCGGCAACTGCTGCTGTTGCTGTTGCTGCTGTTTTTGCAGCGGATCGGATGCTGTGCATCGACTCCCTCGCATCCATTCACCAGCGCGTACTGCATCTGGCAGTTGTCGACGCTGGGGCAACAGTGGCCTTTGCTCGCAGCGTGAGGGTCCTGCATGCAACTCAAGCAGCAATCTCGCAGTAGTGTGCTGTGGCTGCTGCTGTTTTTGCTGCTACTCGTTTTGCTGCTCGTTTTGTTGCAACTGCAGCTGGTGCTGTTAAAGCTACTTGCGCTGGTGTTTTCCTGCTGCTGCTGCTGCTGCTGCCGCTACTGCTTTTCTTCTCACCCCCATTTCCACGGGCGCGCGGTGACTGCCATAGAGCTGTTGTGCAGCAGCAAGTTTTGTGGACGGAGAAGGATATCCCAAACCAACTCAAACACACTGGATACACCCGCATGAGGGTTGGAGGAATGGGATTGCATGCTTAAGGTTGGGGGTCTAGAATTCAGGTGTATCTGCAGGGACTGCTGACGCTGGGGGACGACCTCGAAGCTTTTCATCCAACCATAGTTGCAGGATCGGGGGGCATTTTGCCAGTGTTGCACGCGGCTGTAAGTACAGGGGGGCCACGCGTAGTGTGCAGCCATTTACACTATGGAGCCGTTATTTGCCTTATTGTTGCCTTTTGTTTATGAAGAATGCATGTCTTGTTTTTAGCATCCTCATCTGTTTGCAGTGATCCCATGCCTAATCAGGAGTATGCACTGTGGTTTAAGATGCAGACCATACGGGCAATAAACATCAGCAACGCACTGAGCCATAAGACGATAGCTTGTAAAAAGGCGATGCTGCAAATAAGCTATACCTAAACTTTCCCTTTTAGGATCCTCGCAGATACGTGTGTTAGTTCCAATACATGGTACCTGTCGTTCGAACAACATAAGGATCTGACGCTTGTTTTACGCCCTATTGTGCCAATAAACTTCGTTTTCCAAGGCTCAAATTCAAAATCTCCACTTGTGCGCTTGTTTCCTGGGCTGTCCGTTTATTGGATCGCTTCTGCTATGACTTCTATCCTGGTTGTTGTTCCCTTTGTCATTTCCATTAGTGCAGTCTGTTTTTATTTACTTATTAACTTGCGTGCGTGTTTTGTGCTGGTTTGTTTACTTAGGCGAGACGCACCTTGAAAAGTTTGGGCCGGCTGCGCCGATTTTGGGTCTTGCTTAAGTTAAGGTGGAGGGCCCGACAGTATTGGCAGACGGGTGACTTTGAGCTCTTAGGGAAACCGGTAAGCTGCTTGCATTGCTATATTTGCCGTCCTCTGATTCGTCCAGATGTCCGTTTTAGTTGGATGCGTAGTTTTCTCTGCTCATGCGTCTGTGTGCGGTTTCGTTGTTTGTTGCTTGTTTTAATTTCCGGGTTTGTGTAGTGTATGCTACTGGTTTTTGTAGGAAGATTTGTTTTGTTTGTGTTTACGCAAGTCTTAGTGTGGTGGTTCGCCTGTTTTGCTTGAGTAATTTTCGGCTAGGAGAGTTTGCTGGCTTGTTCTGGTCAAATGTTACCTTAGTTAACAACTAGTTCTTTTGTTCCCTTGGGTGTTCAGTTTGGCTGGGTGTGTTGGCTTTGTTATCGTCATTTCGCAGGATGTGTTTAATTATTTTTATCAGAGAATAAGAGCCGAATGTCTGTGCTGCATTCTGTTATGTTGCTGCTCGCAGCCTTTTGAAGAGCTTAAGGCACAGTTGGCTTCTGTCCACACCATCATTGCTGCCCCGGCTTTGGCTTCAAGCGAACTCATAAAGGAATTGCAGCTGCTGTATTCGGTGGTTATTGTGCATGTAGGGTTGTACCCTTGTGCTTGCGTTTGTTCTGTTTTTACTTTACTGCTAATGCCTATTGCCTTTCCTGTACCCGATCTGCGTTTCCAATTTTTGCCTCCTCCTCCGTCGCGATTGTCTTAGCCTGCATTACCTGTTTTGCATATTGCAGATGCACCTTCCGTGTTTTTTCTTTGTTCTGCCTCCGAATCTCTATATTTGTATTGGCTCTGCTTTGCTGGCTCTATGCATCTGTGCTCGTTTCCGCATCCTCTCGATTGCTGCATATTTGTTTCTGTTGCTTACCCCCGCGTGCATATCGATTCTTTGTCCCACTTCTCTTCACCTGGAATTATTTCATTGTTCCTACCTCATTGGTAACAACTGTTTTTTGCAGTTTTCTGGCGCATGATGGGGTCGCGATTGCCTCTGGCACCAAGTGGCCCTGTGGGGCAATCGCGTTGCCGCTTTTGTTGCAACTACAGCTACTGTTGCTGCTGCTCCACCTCGTTGCGCATACTTCAGTAGCTGCGGTTGGTGTTTCTTGCTGCTGCTGCTGCTGCATGCAGGCGTGCTGCTCTGCGGAGACGGGGATAGCGTTTTCGAGTCGAGAACAGAACAGCAGCAGCGGCAGCACGGAGGGCAGCACAGGCGCGAGCGCCGTCGGAGCCTCTTCAGAATTTGAAAGGATGCGTGCTGCGCCTTTGGGCTGGCCGTCTCCTGTTGTTGCCGTGGATTTGGAGGAGCTGTCTGCTGCAGACCAAGTAAATACAATTGATTATCACGGCGATGAAGTTCCAGGAAGAAGGGCAGGGGGATCATCGCTTGTTCTGAGGTCCTCAGAAGAAAATCACCAACAGATTGTCAGCATTGGCAGTAGCAGCAGCCGCTTCAGCACCCGCAAGATACACGGCGTCACAGAGTGAGGCTGATGCCCCCCTGGAAATCTAGTCCTTTTAGCCGAAGGTCAACACCACACCTGGGATTTGCATGCTGGGGTATTGTGCAGCTGCAGCACTTTAGAAAGGAAAAAGACACGCGCACCACCGAGGGAGCTTTTCGTGCTGCTGCTTCTGCTGCTGGAGAACCAGCAGCCAGTGCCTGCTGTATCATGAATTCTTTGGTTTTGAGTTTAGAGTCTACGGTTTTGCATTGAGTGGGGCCTGTGTGCGTTTGGCTCAGGGGAGAGATCGTTATTCAGGGTCCCTGTGTTTCTGTCGGTAAGGAGCCGCAGAAGTCTGTGTTTTTCGTTTAACCAAACAATTGCAGCAGTTTGTTTGCTTTTAAGATGATTGAATAACTGCCTCGCGTTATGCTTATGCTGGGGGAGCTGCAGCGGGTTGGCTGCGTTAGAGAGGGGAGAGCATAAATAGACCAGTCAATTCGAACTTGTATTTTATATTTTACGGGAAGGCCAAAGTGCAGTGAATGATGTCTGGGAAGAAGAGATGCAGATGCAGTGGTCAATTTGGGTCTACTAGGCGGCAAATACAACGAACTGTCTCTTCTGGAGAAGGCGACGGAAAACAGCAGCACGTTACATTCGTCAAGAGGAGACAACTAACCTCAGCAGGCTGTGCATGCGCAAGAGAGACAAACAGTTGCAGCAGCGATGGCGTCCCATTTGCCACTCACTTATTGTCTCCTTGCATTTCTTGTCAGGGTTGAGGCGGGCTTTTTTTTCGACTGTCTCCCTTTCTGTTCCATGTGCTTTTGCTAGTTTTGGACTGTTATTTCACCGCAAGATTTGCGTGTGTCTTCGTTGCACTTCCTCTATCTCCAGTTGAACTGCTGCGTATTGATTTTGACTCTCTTGCGTTTCTTTTTAAGTATGGCGCCATCCCCCACCAGTTGCTGCCACTATCTGCCTGTAATTCTGTGGCGAAGCTTCCCTGCTTCGTTGCAAGCTTCATCCGGCATTTTGATAGTCTCTTATTGCCGTCTTCAGGTTATTACCGGCACCAAACTGCATTTCAGCGTCAGCTAACCCCTCGGGGTTTCTACAGGACAGGGCTAGTTGGGATCTCTGCAGGAGACGGCCTTCCCTTGTTGCTGACCAGCGCTCTTCCGCGAAGTGTACTGACAGCAGAAGGAGAGTTTATTGACCTGGAAGAAGCTGAAAGACAAATCCGGAAGGTTCATATTGTGAAGAGGGTGCTGTTATATGTGGATGATTTCCATGTCAGTACACCCGGGCTCATGCACTCACGTCGAAATTTTCCCCCTTATTCACTCATCTGACGGCATCCCTAATGCAAGCTACCCTCCAGACAGTAGAATTACTCGTCCCTGTTGTGCCGTAACGCTAACCCGTTCTACGTGTCTGCTGTGGGTATCGAGCTTAAGGCTATTGTGCCGCTAGAGACTGTGACTTCTTTGCTATGAAGCGGATTCAAAAAGCATGGCTTCACTTGCTTGATTGCTGCGGTTGTGCTTGCATGCAGTCGCCGCTGGTGGCCATTGTTCAGCCGCGAAGGAAAGCTGTTTTCCGTTGGGCAAAAACGCGATTTGCTGTCAGTGCTCCAGACCCTAGACCCCGAAACCACATCCGTTAAAGCGTCACATGTTCATTATACAGAACTATTAACCATAAACCTAACAGCATTCACACGCAAGAGCATGGAGCATAAGCACAAAACCATAAACCATAGACCCTAGATCCGCAAAACGTAAGTTTTCAAACCGTGCATCTATACCTTAGACGTTCCTTAACCGTACGCCCTCTTGGATTGTATGTTTGTGTACAGTTTTCGGATGAATACGGGGCCTCGTACGAGGAGTTGGTGTCTTTGCCGGCGTTGCGGAAGTTTGTGTTGCATGCAATTCAAGAGGAGACTTCGCTAAGTCTCGAACACTTTGAACTACCCAAAGCAGTTTACTTGGTGCCACACGACGTCGCGCTGCCTGTGGGGGTGTTTGACCAAGACAAAAACGGCGCAAACAAATACAGCCGTACCATGAGGAGGCGGCAGCTCGCAGAGGCCTATGCACAGCCAATACAGGAAATGTACGAGGCATTAGCTCAATGAAGCCAAATGCAAACCTCAATGTGTTTACTGTGTATGCTCGTAATTTTCGTTGTCTTTTCTTGCTTGCACGGCAGTTACTCTTCATTACCTTCGCCCGGAAGAGCGCAGGAAGAAAATCTCCGTTGCTAGTGCAGTGTTTGGAGCTGAAATGTCAAATGCGGTTGAATAAAGCATACTGCGTATAGATATGGAGACTGCGGAAGCGTCCCTTCCCAGAAAAGCACACTGGACGACGGACGATACCGTGTGGATCCGGTATTCAGAAGTCCGGATTCGACGGATGCGGTCTGTTGTGCCTTCTTTTGTTTGTCGTGTACGATGCAAATTTACCACCTACCGAGCGGCGAATGTGCTATTGTGCCTTACGAGGTCTCACGACGCATAAGTGCCCAACAAGGAGTGGGGCACCGTGGGGAAAAGGGAAATGGAGAGAAAGGCCAGAGTCCCGGACACGAAGGGAAAGAAAAGTATTAGGGGAGTGAAGGCGAACCGCATGTGCCGGTGCTGCTTACATTTACTGGTGCTGATTCCTAGCGCATCTTGTTGCGGCAGGCCTGCGCGGCGTGGTATCCTCGAGCTAACATATTGGTTGTACTGCCAGTTGCATTGAGCAGTGCAATTCAACCATGGAGGCCAATGAGGTAAACACAGGACGAACAGCGGAACGCCCTACCCAAAGCATGGCTACATTCTTCGGATCCTCCACTTCTTCTGCGCAGTCACCAAACCGCTTGGGTTGGAAAGAACTGCCGAACGACTCTGGTGGCTTCTTTCCTGGCGCCTTTCTGCTATCTTCATACATTCCCGCGTGTCTGCAGGTTGTTTATTTTTATGAAAGTCTGCAGCTGCGGACACGCGGGGCTCGCTGCCAACAGCCATACCTAGCGTGGGTCAGACACAAGTGTTTCGGTGTAGACACGCAAATCACAGAATAGTAGAAGAAAGCACTATTGTAAAATGAAGTCACCCAGCACGGGGGAGGAACTCAGGCCACTTTGATGAATTTCACTGAAAAGAGTAAGGCAGGAAAAAACTGCACAAGAATAAGGTTGGTGCGTTCAGTAGGAGCGTCTCCCCCTTTGTGGTACCTCAAAGTCACGTTAAGTTCCATATTGAGCCGCGCCACAAACTCGGGCCAGAAGGCACGAAGAAGCTTCAGGTCACTGTCAGCAAGAATGCCTCTCAGGAAGTCATGGAGCTTATATAGATAATTACTGAGTAGTTGCGTGACACCTTCGTATGTATCTAAACTCGAAACACGGGTGTAGTACGAGATAAATTGTTCCTTCCCCCTGGATGCTGATATTCCGGAGAAGTGAGGGCATACTCCCGTGCTTCGAGGTTTATCCTAGACCACCAAATACTGGCCGCCGGCTCCACTGCGGTGTTTACCCCATCATGGCCAGCCAAAACAGGATAGTGCATTTTGTGCAAACATGCTACACAAAGCAAAGCTGGAGCCCTTCGTCTGCTATCACAGGATGCCTCCGTATATTTGCTGAGGTGCTTTGCCCGATGTTCGCTGTTCAACTTTGCAAGCGCAGCCGTGTGAGGATCTGTAGAGTTAGATGCGCGGAGCGTAGAAAGGAAATCGGAATCGCCGCAGACGTTGAGTTGCGGAATAGAGCAACTGAGAAGTATGGCATCAGTGAACGTGTTGGTAGTCTGGACGTTCCGGACTGTGAAGTCTTACTGCGGGAGCTAGCAATGCTACTGAACAACGCTTTCATTATTGAACCCTTTAAACCCCTTTGCCAGGCTTGTCATGGGTTTGTCGGCAGTCTGAACCATAGAATGCAGATCATGTGTCGACACTAGTATTGTCACCACACCCCGTTGGGATCCTTCTCACTTACTTGATATTCCTGTTCCCTTCTTGTTAAACGATGTTAATTGCAAGCAAATATATGGTATTTTCCTTTGAATCGTGGGTTTCTGAGAGGGCAATACGCCGCTCGTTGCTCCACTAGCATGTGTCGTCAGGAAGAAGGGTTTGTTGCAGTCACATGGACAGAGACCGAAGAAGCCAGGACGAGCGTCGTCAAACACTTGACATCGTCTCCAGCCCTCGGGCGCCCTACTCTATTCTTACGCCACCACCGTGAATAAACCCGTTAGAGGGGCTGCGAGCGAAAACTGGAAAGCGCTGCGGTAGTCAAATGCTCAACGGAGGAGTTTACGAAAACCCGTGCGAGCGTGCAGCTGAAACGGCGACATCCTAGTGGGGCGGATCACGCGGATCATCATCGAGCCCTCATTGACTAGGCTGGACAAATCGTAATTAATCTGCCACACCAATTCCGTAGGTGCATTAACGGGTCAAAAAAGTTTACGAATGCACGTTGATTTGCGTGTGTGCGTATGGAACGGAATCTGGTCCGGCCAGACCTATGGGATATGCAAAAACGCGTTGGCAAAATTCTAGTAAATGAATGGACTGATGATCCCTGCACGCGGTCACATTGTCCATCCAGTCTATCGTTAACGTTTGTTTCAAAGTGATCCTGTTTAGGGCTTGAGTTTGATGCAGATGCTCCCTTTGCAGTCTATTTCTTCGTCGGCACCTCATTATATTCAAAGGGGTTAGTTGAAGGTTTAACTTTGCTTACCCCTTTTGAACGCAGTGCGGTGCTGGCGCAGCTTGGGCCGGCGGTGGAAGGAGTTCGACGCGATGCTTTGTGCGTGAAGTGGGCGAACCGCCAGGCAGTATATCCTCGTCATCCGCGAGCATTTCCTTCAACTCTGCCCACTTCTGCTGTTTGGCTGTGCCAATTTGTTTGAGTCACTTAAACTTGCTGCATTCGTGAGACCGCCAACACATGCCGCATGCATTGTTTCGTCGCTTCATGGGGCGCCCCTTCACTGGGATGGAGACTTCGCTTTTTCTACTTTTTGGGAAGCCGTTTCCGTTCCAAAATCTGGAACCTTTTGGCCAATACTGCGAACTCAGTGAGTACAGATTTAAGATGAGAGGGTTTTGCAGGTGCGGTTGTCACCACGCTTGATCCCATCACTACGTCTCACTTTGCATAGTGGCCAGGGTGTCTTTCTGATTGCTTCGTTGTCGCCCCTCGTGGCGTCGTTCAAAACGTCAGCTCTGTTTTGCTTTTCGGGATTCCGGATTATGCAGCATTTCCTATTCATATATAAGGCAAATGTGCCGACTTGCGCTTCCCCTCGACTTTCCAAGGGCCGGACTCGCCGGCAGCCGTCTGCTGTCATGCCGTTTCCGTTGGTATTCACATCCCGAATATTCGTAGGCTCTATTTCTGTGTCTCTCCCGAAGAACCAAGGAAAGAAGCGACCCCATTGCCACCGCCGCAGCTGAGGCGGAGGCTCGGTTGCGGCGGTGGCAGTGGCATCGTTTCTTTCTTTGGTGCAAAGAGCTCTATCATCGCAATGAGTTCCACCCTTTCATCCATTAGTTCTCTCTCCTCTGGCTAGCTGGTTAGTGACTGCTTCTCTTCAGGATACACTACTACTGGCTGCAACCAGGGAGGCGGCGGCGAAGAAAGCACCGAGGGAAGCGGAGCCTCAAAGTAGGCCATAAATGAAAAGCTATTTGTCAGGCCAACTAAACCTTGTTTTCATACAAAACGAACAGCTTATGTCAGCTTGTGGGCCCACATAAGTGGCCATATTGGGGCAGAGGCTGGAACGGCAGGATCAAGCTGCAAGCCGAGCCCGTCCCGTTTTACCGGGAAATGTCCCAAGTAAAGCATTGGGGAAGATCGTTGGAGGCGTGCGCTCACACGCTACCTTTATTTTGCCTCTGTTGCGAGTTTCAAGTGCGTATACCTCTTGAAGTCACTGCGGAACTGCGAACTATCCAAAGGGCTGTTATTTTTTCTTTCAATTCGGCACCGTTTAAATCAAGAAATGCATGCGTTGTTTTATGCCTCCCAGGAAAAATGCTAACGAAGTGTCGAGCCAGATATTCTAAAAAGCGCAAAGTGCGCATTTGATTGGATCCATCACAGTGAGAATATTGATTCGGCTTAGTCAGGAAAAAAAGCCGCAGGATTCCCATATTCAGGGGCAGCAGACTTTTGTTAAGGCAGACAGCTTTCTGCAACAATCTGTAAAGAACTGCTATTAACGCATGACACGACCTCAGGATGCCCCTGAATAGGGGAATCCTGCGGCATTTTTTTCCTGACTAAGCCGAATCAATTTTCTCACTGTGATGGATCCAATCAAATGCGCATTTTGCACTTTTGAGTAAATTGTACTGTTGTTTACTCGGCCCTTTTATTGCTTTTTCGGCAATGTGGGATAGACGTAGGGTAGGGAGGTTTGTTTAAGCCCTGCACTAACGTCTAGCTCGATTGCCGCCGTAGAGAAAAATGGAGTGAATGCTGTTGAAGCGTTTCTTCAGCCCAGCCGCTCGTAGAAGCTCCGAAGAGGGCTTCGGCCAGAAAGCGCTAAGCGCTGTGCATCAGAGGGGGGAAGTAAACAAGATGTTTTGGTGAATCAGGAAGGAGAGAAAGCTACTAGAGCGAACAGCAATGCCTTCAGCTTCAACATGATTCAATATATGGCGGAGCAGGCCACTCCCACCGCTATTTTTGCAACGGTTTTTCTCACTTTAAAACGACAAGGATCCCAGAAAGAATGCAAAAGCAGCGGCCGTCAGACACAACACAAAAGAAGGCGCACCAGACGGCTGGCTATTTTTTTGACTGCTTGCTGCTGCTGCTGTTGTGGCGGTTGTCGTGGTTGTTGTTGATTCTGTTTTCGTAGTTGTTGTTGCTTCCTCTGTTGTGGATGCTGGTGTGGCCGTTGTCTCGGTTGGTGGTGCGGCCGTCGTTGTGGTTGTTGTTGGGGTCGTTGTTGGCACTTCTGACGAGGTGGATGATGGTGGTTGCATCGAACTTGATGTGGTATCCTCCTCCCCTTCTTTTTGCACGGTTTCAGCTTGCCCAGAAGAGCCAGCTGCGCAGTACGCAAGCAATACAGTCGTGGAAATAGGTAAAGCACTGCTGATCCAGCGGTTGACTTTACATTTTCCCATGTGCTTGCCGCCTAGCTTACCCGCCTCTTGCCTGCTGGGGTATGTATTTGCATCTGCAAACAGTACAAACCGCCAAAACGCCAGAGCTGACCCGTAGATGCACAGACATGAGGGGTATTGGCTCTCTTAGTGAGGGGGTGCTATACTATGTGAAGTCTTCGCCCTAATACTATGACGTATTACAGCAAAAACTTGCTTTGGGTGCTGTTTGTTGCATTTCGTGAGGCAAACCAGGACCTTTCTACGTGCGATGCCTGGAAATAAGGTGGAGGCGAAACGACAACGTGCTGAAAGAAATTTCAAATGCTAAAGTGGAAGGGCCAGCTGAGGACTACCAGCGCATGCACTGTTGCTGTTTTGCTTTTCAACCATATTTCTCTTTCTTTTTTGTGCATGTACGGCTGAGGGTTGTTTCATGAACTGTTCGTTGCCGTTCCTTTGCGGAGGAAATACGAACAAAGCCAACAAGACGCACATGCAATAAACTGTTTCGCAAGGTATTCACTGGCCTCCGACCCCAAGGCACACAAGGCGCTAGCTGCGAGAATTCCCAAGACCTTTAGGGCCCCCATTTTGTGGTATGGGAGGCGGTGAAAAGATACTAGGAATGTCTGCGCGGCCAAAATGTACACCAGTGCAATTTCAGTAATGGAATTCTGATATTGACGTCCCACACGATACTTGAACCTTCCCCAGTCGTTCCTCGTATTGCAGGAGAGTTTAGGGGTTGTAGATCAGAGGCCGGTACCTGTGCGGCAACCGCAGCAGCTACACAGCAACGTTGGCTGAAAAAACCGTTGCTGTTTGATGACACCAGGGCAAATAAGAAGGAAATGTTATTCCTGAGGAGTGAAGAACTTGGGAAAAAGCTTCTGCACAGCTTCCTTTGACCAGAATTGATGAAGTGACGGAGAAATTTGCGCAGAGTCTGTCAATCTGCTCCTGAGTCCTCTACGTCTGCCGTTCGTCAAATGAAGTGTTTGCATAGATGAGAATGGCCTGATTGAAGATAGTATACGTGTATTGTAACGAAACATACAGGTTCTACCTTGAGAGAGACCATGCGGAATATTTATACTGGCTCGCCAGCTGGCTAAAGGGGCCCAAGCATGTGTACAACAACTGTCTACAGGGCTACAGCTGTGTGCATTGTTAGGGCTAGCAGCAGAGAGGGGCTTGTTGGGTCTTTTGCTTGAGTACGCTGCTGCGCTGCAGCACGAGCAGCAGCAAGGAGTGCTGCTGTAACTTGCCTCAGTATTTGTTTCTTCTGTCTCCTCACCGCACCAAAATAAATAGAACTTTCTACGTCTTGTGCTGTTGAGTCCAGGAAGCCTAGACACTGTAGGGGGTGTCCTTATATACTTTTTAAATTATATAATCATCATACATTTTATAAGGTATTTTGAATCTATTGTAGCTTTCGATGGTCGATGTTGGATCGAGGACTCGTTATATACACAACTCCAAATGGCGCGTACCTTTATTTGCCTTGCTGCTGTTCAGAGTGTGTGGTTGGTTAATTAGTATATATTTGTCTCGGTGTTTCAAATATATTATAATTATTTTGTAGTTTTGGTTTCTTCTTTTTTTTAACTGCATGTGCACGTACAGCTTCATCGCTGCGTCGCGGGGCTTTTATCTGTTGGTAGGTTTGTATAAACGTACATACAGAGAATGGGGCTTGAGGTGGGAAGCGTATGATATTTTCCTTATGTTCCTCTTTACTTGTTGCTATAATGCATTTTAAATCACTTTTATTGTTTCTACTTTCTGCCTTTTCAATCGCTAACGCTCCGCTGTTCATAGCGACGCCGTTGCATGCTGCACGAACGACAGCTGCAGCAGTGCAGACCCCATCTTAACTCAGCAAGTTCTATCCCCAGAAAATAATTATATATTAATTCAGAAACTTCTGCGTGTCAGCAGGGGGGCGATCTGCCTTTATCCCCAGCAGCAGCAGCAACTTCAGAAACTGCCGCAACTGCAGCAACTACAGCAGCAGCAGAAGCAGCATCAATAGCTGGACACAGCATAAGTTAGTACCTGTGAGAAGCACCTCTACACTTAGCCGTATGCTGCATCATAACTGAACAGAAGAGAATATAACAAGCAAACTCCATGCACCCCCCGGAGCCTCGCGGACCTGGGGGGCCCCCCGACCCCCGAGAGCTGCCTGCTGCTCACACAGGGCCGGGGCCCACGCCGGGGCCCCCTGTGCCACCAGCTCCTCCTGGGGGGCCCCCGGGGGCCCCCCCGGGGCCCCCACCGCACCTTATGTTCCCCCATTCTCCTTTGATGATGCCTCCGGGGATTCCCCTACCTATGGGTGGAGTACCCCCAGCGTTGCTGCCTGGGGCGTTGGCGTTACATCATGCTGCAGTTGCAGGCGCTGCAGCAGGTGCAGCAGCAGCAGCAGAGGAGGCACGCATGGCTCAGGAGCGTTCTTTTGCGAACGCGGGCGGCCACGGTGCCCACGATGGGGGCCCCCCTATGCCTCCGGGGGGCCCCCATGGGGGCCTCCCAGAACGGGGTAGCAGTAGGGGCGCAGGATCAAGGGGGCCCCCAGGGAAGCGGCACTATGGGGAGAGAACAGGGGGTACCTGGCGTCGGCTGCCTAGAGAAGAGAGGCTGAATCGCATGCAAATGCAGCAGCAGCAGCAGAGGGGGAGATCGGACTGGAGGGGAGGCAGCAGCAGAGATAGATCTTCTGGTGGCAGCCGTTGGAGAGGAGGGGGGCCCCCTGGGGAGGGTCTGGGGGCCCCCATGAAGAGGTCGCGTGCAGCTTTAAAGGGCCCCAGAGGCCCCTCAGGGGCCCCTGATGGCCTCTCTGGTGCCTCTTCTGATTCGGAGCTGTCGCTGATGTCTGTTGCTTCACAGGATCAGGATCAGCAGCAGCGGGAGCGGGAGCGAGGGGGGGAGCAGCAGGAAGAGGAGCAGCAGGAGAGGAGGAGCCTCTCTGTCGAGGTGCTGCAGCAGCATGGGGGGGGCCCCCTTGCTTCTGCAGAGGGTATACGAGGGGCCCTAACTCCAATGTCTTCTCTTTCAGGTTCAGAGTCAGATTTGTCTATATCTGCTGCTTCTGCTTCACCTGAAAAGGGGGCCCCTTCGGGTGTAGGGGGCCCCCCTCCAGAGGGATTTGGGGGCCCCCCTGAGGGGTTTAGGGGCCCCCCGGGGTTGATGGGAGATGGAGGTGTGGGGCGTGGGGAGTTGGGATCGGTTTGCATGCAAGAAGAGGAGGAGGTGCGGAGGTCTGAGCGGCGGCGGCGTCGCAGCGCCAGCAACAATAACACCACCACCACCAACAACAACAGCAGCAGCAGCAGCAGCAACAGCAGGAGCAGCAGGAGGGGAGGAGGGCAGTTCTTATTTGACCTCTGGGTGCCTACAACCTTTCACCCAGGTGGAAGAGAAGCAGCAAAAGTGCTGCTAGGGGTGCGGGGCTCAATGCATAAAGAATTGCAGAAAGCAGCGGGCGCTCACGTGCAGATATATGGAAAAGAATTAAAAAGAAATACAAATAAACATGAATATGATGCCTTTAGGTATATACAAACAATTATCTACTTGATTTGTCTTTGTTTACGGGTGTTTATATCTTTTTATCTCTCTTGTTTATATTTATTTTCTTGTGTTTATATCTTCCTATGCCTCTTCAATTTATATTTGTTTGTTTGTCTATATCCTTTTATATCTTTTGTTTCTATTTTTTATTTTTGTGTTTACATCTTTTTATATCTTTAATTTCTATTTATTTATTTATATGAGCACAAAGACAGCACTTAAATACACCAAAGACAGCAATAAATTTGTTTGATTTAATCATAATAACAAATATTTTTATTAATTCCTTTTGCATTTAAATGCGTTTCTTTCTGCATTTTTTCCTTGCATTTGTTTGTTTGTTTGTTTTTGTTTGTTTTTTGTTGTGAAGACAATCATCTTCACATGAATTTTCTTTTTTTGTGTCTAGGGTTTAGGGTTTAGGGTTTTTGTTTTTCTTTAGTTCTTCCGTCTCTGTTTTGTATATTTGCATTTATATATTTAATATATTTATATATTCATTTGGTGTGTTTGTTTGTCTTTATTATTTCTATAGAGACAACCAACTTTTGCACTAATGTCTTCTTTCTCTTTTCTTCTCCTTGTTGTATGCTATACATGCATTTATATTATATATATACATATATATGTATATATATGCATATATATATTAATTTATCGATTTGTTGTGCTTATTTGTGTTTATTGTTTGTACAGAGACAACCAACCTCTGCACTTAGTGGTGAGTACTGACAGACACCGCAATCCAAATCCTTCTCCTCAAGAGCAGCTTCAAATAGTAAGGCGGCTGCAGCATATGTTGGAGTGTCTCGTCAGAGACAGTTGGCCTGCAACTGCTTCCTTTCCCCCTCCTTCCTTTTATGATAAACAGCAATGCTTGGGGCCCTCAACGGGGCCCTTAGTTGAAGTCAACCCGCTAGATGGATCTTGCCGCCTTAGATCCGATGCTCCTGCTGCTCCTACTGCTGCTCCTGCTGCTACTGCACCAACGCAACAGCAACAACAGCAGCAGCAGCAGCCGCTCGGCGCAAATCAGCAGCAAGAAAACAGATCGTTAACGGAGCTAGAGACAGGAGCGGGGGGAACGTTTAGGGGGCCCCCCCATGGAAATGATGCTGCAGCAACAAGGGGCCCCCTGGGGGGGCCCCCTGCACCAGGAACGTTGCAGGGGGCCCCCCTTGGTGCTGCTGCTGCAGACACACGGAGCACAGATGCAGCAACAGGAACGCCAAATTCGTTCTCGCACAACGCTGCTGCTGGTGGTGGTGCTGCTACTGCACCAGCAGCAGCTGCTGCTGCTGCACCTACAGCACCAGGCCTCCAGCAGCCGCTTGGGATTCCACAGCAACAGCAGCTGCAACAGCAGCTGCAGCAGCAAATGCAGCAGCAGCAGCAACAGCAAAATGAAGACGCTTCAGGAAGAACCTCACCTCGCGCTCCTTGGGAACAACCAGAAAATTGCCTCAGCCCCAACACAGGGCACACAGGTAACATAATTGCATGCATGCATGCATGCATGCATGCATACGTGCATGCGTGGCTGTTTGCGTGCAGTCTTATTTTGCGGTAGTAAGCTGCGTTGTGCTGTATGGTTACTGTATTGAGTTGTTATGTATTTATTTGTATATTTATTTGGCGTTGTTTTGTTATATGCATTGCCTTACTTTGTATTTTTTGTTGCTCTCTATCTCCGACTGCGTTTCTCTCTTATTATTATCATTGTTATTATTATTTTTTGTGTTTTGTTTGTTCTATCCACTACTTTCTTTTTGTTATATGAAATGATAAGATTTTGTTTATTATAATATCCTTTATTAATATGGAGTAATAATATAATAAAGTTAAATTCTTGTTTGTTTTGTTTGTTGTGTTGTGTTGCTCTCAGGAGTTCGATTTCAAGGAGATCCTTTATTGCTGTTGGATTTGCCGCCTTCTTTATGTTTGCTGCTGCTAACATTGCAGGGTTTGCATGCATTATTAGCAGAAGAAGGGCCTTGTTTATCTTCGTCTCTTCCTTTTCGTTTCCAGCACAAATGGATGGTGCCTCTATTATATACAAAAGCAGAATATGGTTTCTCTGCATGCAGCCCCATTGCTTGGGGTGATACATTAGAAGGTTTTGTTGAACTCTTCCCCGAGGTCTTTGCCCTTACAAAGGGGGCCCCCTGGGGGCCCCTCCAAGCAGCAAAAGATACGAGATCCACTGAAAATAACCCTAATCAACCTAATGCAACTCTCACCGTTGCTTCTGTTAAAGCCCCACAATTCAGAGCTGTTGCTGCACGCATGCTACAATTACTCGCAGCCTAAGCATCTTTAAGTCTGCCAAAAATGCATGCAAATGCATGCATCTGCATGCATCTACATGAATCTACATGCATTTGCATGCATCCATTTTTGTGACAAGAATGCATGCGCCAACATGCGTGCATGCATCGGGGTGCATGAATGCATCTACGTGGGGGTGCATACATGCGTGCATGCATGCGTGCATACATGCATGCATGCATGCATGCATGCATGTGAAGGAAGGAGGGCATTGGCTTGAGCGGAAGGAGAGGGTTTTCTTTGTTTGTTTGGGGATTTGTCGTCTTCTTTCCCCCTCTCCTTTTTGTTATGCAGCAGCAGCATATCTCTGTCAGGAACAGCAAAAGCAATAATAATTGTTCTAGGCTTTGCATGCATTCGAGCCAGTGTATATACACCAGAGGAGACACCCGGTCTCCTTCCCACAAACTTTTTTAATTTTGCGCGGACAGACAGCGCAACAAATATATATAATACATGTCTACATATTTTTATTTTTTTATATACTAAGACATGAGGGAATGAAAAGCATGCATACATTTCTGCATGTGTATATAGATGCATATATATATATATATATACATATATATATATATATGCATATATGCAGATTCACACGCACATACATACATACATTCATATATATACATATATATATGAATGTATATATATATATATATATATATATATATATTTATGTATACCTCCATATATCTATATCGAGATCTACATCCTTTATGTCAACCTATATACCTATGTATAACTATATATGTGTATATCTATGTATCTCCCTCTATATATATATATAAACAATGCACATATATATATATATATGTTTGTATATGTTGCGTATATTATATATATACGATATGTATAGGCATTCACTGACATGAAGCGAAAGATAGGGGAGGAGGCGTCTGCGAGTGCCTGCGGATGAAAAGTAAAATTTTAGGTGTATATATATTCTTTATTTGTTTTTTGTTGCTTATAGCAATGCATTGAGAAAAATGCATTCAGATATACTCCTAGAAGGAATAGGGTGTACGTACAGCATGCATTTGCATGCAGGACCCCCTTCTACAGAAATGTTCGGGGGTGCATGCGGAGGGAGGAGACTGTATATATATGTATACAAATATGTATATATATATATATATATTTACTTATTTATATGGAAGTATCTATATATATATATTTATGGGTGTATATATATATATATATATTTATTTATTTATATGCAGATATGCAGCTATGGAGTGAACAAGCATTTACAGCCAACACGGATATACAGCAGCTGTACGTACACTCGAATGAATGAAAAGAACTTAAATTGCTTGTCTTATAAATGTTCTTTATTATTTGTTCGTATCCAACTGTAAACAACAAAATAAAATAATGCGATGAAGAGACACATGAATAAACACCAAAGAAATTAAGCATGTATAGTAAAACGAGTTTGTTATTCAGCAGAAATAACGGCAAAAACACAAATTTAGACTCCTTATAAAAGCAGCACCTGCAACTGCAGCAGTAGTCTTAGCAGCAGCGGCTGCAGCAGCAACAGCAGCTGCTGCAGCAGAAAGAGCAGACGTAGAAGCAGCCGGAATAGCAGCTGCAGCACCACCAGCAGCAGTAGCAGCAGCAGCAGCTGCTGCTGCAGCAGACAACAGCAGCATATTCATGAGAAGGAACAAAATAGTTTATTAAACAGCAGTAGCAGATTAGGAGACAAACAAATGCAGCAAAAGGATTTCACGCACAACACAAATTTGTTTCTATGCCTTCTCGCTATCTTTAAGACCACCAAACCCTAAACCCTAAACCCTAAACCCTCAATCTGAAGCCCTAAAGAATGGGTGTACAGGGTTTACGATATCATTCCGTTGCGCTGAGCACGCGCTTGAAGACCCTAAACCCTAAACCCTAAACCCTAGCCACTTGTTATTAAAAGGTTTTGGTGCCTGTGAGGAAGCAGACAGAGGAGGAGGCAGTTCAATTACGGCCTCAGCAGTAGAAGGTGCGCATACACCCCAATACAGGGGCCTCGCTTTCACGCAGCTCTAAACCCTAAACCCTAAACCCTAAACTCAAATATACAGTTGTCTGCTGCACACCCAATGCCTCGCTGCACATTCGCCCGGCAAATAGATTTGTGTTACTTTCTGCATGCAGTAAGAAAACTCTTTGCAGCAGAAACCTAAACCCTAAACCCTAAACCCTAATTCCTAAACCCTAAACCGTCACTGCCGCCACGCACGTTAGGGGTGACCTTGGGGGGTTCCCGACTCCCGGGCATAAACCCTAAACCCTTGAAGCCTTAAACCCTAAACCCTAAACCCTAAACCCTAGAAAATGCTCATATACGGCAGACCCGCCTAAGGTTTAGTTGAAAGCGAGCAACGCCAGCCCGTGAGCGTTCAGGGTTTAGGGTTGAGGGTTGAGGGTTGAGGGTTTAGGGTTTGTTATCTGTGCCGCCGGTAATTATTGCTTGTCGAGGGTTTAATATTGAAATAGTTATTTAAAAGAGCAAATTTAATCATAGAAATTACACAAATACACCGGAAAAGCAGCAGTTGCATTCAAACCCTCTCGCGTCTGAAAGAGCAGCAGCAGCAGCAGCGACAGCAGCAGCAGCAGCAGCTGCAGCTGCAGCAGCAGCGGCCCACCAGTCTATTAAGCGGCTCTATCTTTTTAGTAGCCCCGAATTATCTGCTGTTTGATATTTTAAAATAAAACAAAACGTGCAGCAGGCGCTCGTGCTGCAGCTGCTGCTGCACTAGCAGCAGCAGCAGCAGCAGCAGCAGCAGCAGCGGCACCGGCGCTGGGGGTCGTCCGGAGCCGAAACAGCAGCAGCAGCAGCAGCAGCAGCGGCGGCAGCAGCAGCAGCAGCTGCTGCAATTGTTGCGCAGACTCATGAGATGTTTTATTAATTATGTGTATACTCAACGGGTGAAAGGCAGCCGCGGCAACTGCAGCAGCAACAGCAGCAGCAGCAGCAACGGCGGCAGCAGCGCTGCCCTGTTTGACTCAGCAGCAGCAGCAGCAGCAGCTGTCTCTTCCCCTGCTGCTGACTTCCTGTTTCTCTGTCTCTTTTGCATGCATTTAGAGACAGTTGGGTATCTTTAGAGCTTCGATTTCTTCCTCGAGGCCCCCACCTCCGTGCTGTTGAATCTGCTGCAGCGGCCCTCTGTGTCTGCTGCTGCTGCAGACGCAGCAGCAGCAGCAGCAGCAGCAACAGCAGCAGCAGCAGCAACAACAGCATCTCTTTCTCATTCATTTTCTTTATACACAACAAACTTATTCATACACAAACCGTCCTTATCAAAGCCTCTTGGGTGTAGCTCGCCGCTGCCGACTGCCCCGTGTGGCGCTCCCTGGAGACGGAAAGGGTTTAGGGTTTAGGGTTTAGGGTTTAGGGTTTAGGGTTTAGGCTTCCGGCTTTAGATATGAGCGACAAACACAGAGGATCAGCAAACGCCTCTAAGTGCAGTGTACACCCACCGCATGAATAACGGCTTAACCGAAAGATAACAAGCCGGCAGCAGCAGCAGCAGCAGCAGCAGCAGCAGCAGTAGCAGCAGCAGTAGCAGACAATGGAACAAACATTGAAGAAAAAAGAAGAAAGCGCCACTGATGCTTCAGGCGAGGCAGCAGCAGCTGCTCCTGCGGGTGGTGCTGCCGCAGTTGCTGCTGCTGGGAATGTAAGCAGCAGCAACAGCAGCAGTAATAGCAGCGGCAACAACAGCAGCAACAGCAGCAGCAGCATCCAGGCAGCTGTAGGCAAGCAGCAGAAAGATTCTGCCGCTGCATCTGCAAGGGCAGCAACAGCACCCAACGAACCGCCGCAAGGAACAGCAGCAGCAGCAGGAGCAGCACCAGCAGCAGCATCAACAGCAACCGCAACAGCAGCAGCAACAGCAGCAGCAGCAGCAGCAAGGTCAAGCAGCAGCAAACCAGGAGAAGATGTACAGTGGAACAGTCTACTCTGCAAGCACTTCCTCTTCGGCCGCTGTGCCCGCAAACGCTGCCGCTTTTTGCATGCAGAAGGAGCAGCAGCAGACACCAAGACAGCAGCAGCAGCAGCAGCAGCAGCAGCAGCAGGTACTGCCACTTCTGCTGCTGCTGCTGCGGCGGCAGCAGCAGCGGGGGACTCCGGTTGTGCAGGAACTCAGGCAACTGCTCCGCATGCACACCAACCCTACGACCTGCAACAGCAACAGCAGCAGCAGCAGCAGCAGCGTCAGCAGCAGCAGCACAATATTAACGCCAGCAACGGATTACCCGTGCAAGGTCCGCCTTTTGCTGCAGCTGTACATACACCTGCAGAAACCCCAGGCACAAGCAGCTGCAACACACCCAGCAGAGGTAACAGCTGCAGCAGCAACAGCTGCAGCAGCACCAGCTGCTGCAGCAACAGCAGCTGCAGCAGCAACTACGAGAATGCTCCCTTTTGTCTGTGTTTCTTTGATGTGCTGCAGGACCCAACGGCAGCAGCAAAAACCCTGAAGATGGAAGCTCTGGTAGCGGCAGCATGAAGCAGAAGCAGCAGCAGCAACAGCAGCAGCAGCAGCAGCAGCAGCAATCACAGAGACAGCACCGGCAGCAACATCGGCAGCAGAGGCAGCAGCAGCGTGCCCAGCAGCAGCAGCAGCAGCAACAGCACTTCTACAAGGGCAGGTAAGGCTTAACCCATATTTCAACTCTATAGAAACCGGAAAATGCTGCTGCTGCTGCCGTTGCTGCTGCTGCTGCTACCATTGTTGATGCTGCTTTGTGCTGCCTGCTGCTGCAGTCAGCTGTGATTCTAACCCTTTGCTGCTGCTGCTGCTGCCACTGCTGTGTTCTTGCTTGTTACTGCTATCCATTGCGACATCTCCTCTCCTGTTGTTGCTTCTTTTGCTGCTGCTGCTGCAGAGGAGCGATGCTGCTGCCGAGCTACAGCGGGAAGAATGCTCTGCAGTCTGCTGCTGCTGCTGCTGATGCCTCTGGCAGCAAAGCCACAGCACAGGGGACTCTGCGAGGCCTTGTAGATTCTAGTATAACGCCTGCAGCAGCAGCAGCAGCAGCTGCTGCTGCTGCTGCTGCTTCTGCTGGTTCAGCAAACACAGCTTCTGCTGCTGCTGTCGGCCTTCCAGCAGCATCAGCAGCAACAGCAGCAGCTAGCAACGCCTCGCAGCACTTTTGTCTCCCTAACCCTTCTTGGGGTTACACCAAGCCAGGTCTCCCTTCATGCAGCAGCAGCAGCAGCAGCACTGCAGTAGCAGCAGCAGCAGCTGCTGCTGCTGCACTTCGCAGTCACAGGGCGCCCACCACAGAAGAGCGGCTTCCAGCAGCCGCAGCAGCAGCAGCAGCAGCTGCAGCACTTGGGCGGGGAACTAGCTTTGGGGGAGTAAAGGCCGTGCCACCTTCATCTGCTGCAGCAGCAGCAGCAGCAGCAGCAGCAGCAGCAATGGGTTTCCGCATAGACAGCGGCGTGGGGGCCCCTCAGGGGCCCCTAAAAGACCTACGAGGTGTACAGACAGCTGAAGGGCTTGCAGACAGATACCAGGCCCCCTTTGTGTGCGTCTACATTCCTTACTCCGGCTATTTAATTCATTTCCCAGCAACAAGAGACTCAGCAGCAGCAGCAGCTGCTGCTGCTGCTGCCGCTGCTGCTGCTGCTGGGCCCTCCGTGCAGACGCAGCACCCGACTATTCATACAAAAGGAAAGAGAGCACCCCCAGATTTCTGCTCCAGCCTCCGCATGCAAGATGCTGCTGCTGCTGCTGCTGCAGAAGCAGCAGCAGCTGCAGCAGCAGCGGGTGCCACTCCTACCTACTGCTGCAACTCAGAATATGAAAAGCAGCTCCAGCTGCAGCAGTCGCAGCAGCAACAATACCAGCAGCAGCAAAGGCACTGCTTAACTAGAGGACTCTCAGCAGCAGCGAATCCATACGCACCGCCGCCCCCTCCGCAGCAGCAGCAGCAGCAGCAGCAGCAACAGCAGCAACAGCAATTTACGGGTCAGCGACGGAACTCAGATTTCCCCCAGCAGCTGCTGCTGCTTTCCCAGCAGCAGCAACAACAGCAGCAGCAGCAGCAGCAACAGCAGCAGCAGCAGCAGCAGCCACCACCACCGCCACCGCCTCCCCCGCCTCCACAGCAGCAGCAGCAGCAGCTACCTCTTCTGCAGGAGCAGCTGCAGGGCCTGTGTATACCGTCGGCAAAGGGAGGTTTTTCTCTGCTCTCAAATGCATCCGTGTCTTCCTTCTTCAGCAGCAGCAGCAACTACGAGCAGCAGCAGCAACAACAACAGCTTCTGCTGGGGGAGCCAACAACAGCAGCAACAGAAGGAGATGAGGAGACTGCTGCTTCGCAGCTGACTCCCGATTGTAGCAGCAGCAGCAACAGCAACAGCAGCAACAACAGCAGCAGCAGCAGCGGGTCTGTTGCTGCAGCAGCAGGTGCAGCGGCAGTTGCAGCCACAGGGAAAACCGAACAGCAGGAGCAGCAGCAGCAGCAGCAGAAATCCTTATGGTGCGGCCTTCAAGCAGCAGCACCGCAACACCGAACTTGGGCTCAGGCTGCTCACGAGTCGCAGCAGCAGCAGCAGCGGCAGCGGCAGCAGCAGCAGCAGCCCTTTTGGTTGCCTTCATTAGATTCTCTGGATGGAGAAGCAGCATGGCAGGGAGGAGACTGCAGCGGAGACCTTCCTGCTGCTGTTGCTGCTGCTGTTGCTGAGGCAGCGAGTGTTGCTGCAGGCAGCAGCAGCAGCAGCAGCAGCAGCGGCGTTCCCTGCATTGAGAAGAGACGGGGGAAGCAAAATCTGTTTGCTGCTTTCCAAGATGAAAGAAATGCTGCTGCTGCAGCAGCAGCAGCAGCAGCAGCAACGCCGCGAGACATGGGCGAGCTGGCGCAGCTGTCTCCGACTGCAGCACTAATTGCTGCAATATGGGGGGCAGAAGAACCCTCCTCCTGTCCCGTTGCTGTCTCCAAGTAGCAGCAGCAGCAGCAGCAGCAGCAGCAGCAGGGAAAGCAGCGGAGAAAGCTGCAACGACTGCTGTTGGAGCAGCAGCAACAGCAGCAATACGCGCTACTCCCTCTCAAGCGTTGTCCTCAGCAGCAACTGCAACAGAAGCAGCAGCAGCAGCAGCAGCAGCAGGACAGCAGCGGGAGGATGTATGCACAGGTGCAAGAAGAGAGCAAAACGCGGCAGCAGCAGGTCGTGGGCCGCTCAGCTCAGTGCTGCTGCGGCGCTTCCCCTTCTCCCTACCGGCTTCTGCTGCTGCAACAGCAGCAGCAGCAACAGCAGCAGCAGCAGCGAAGGAGGGAGACAGGCGTGGAGCACAGGTGTTTGAGCTGACGGGGTGTACAGACAGAGAAGACCGAGGCCCTGCTAGCTAGCTAGCTAGCTAGCTAGCTAGCCAGCCATCCAACTCGCTAGCTAGCCAGCTAGTTAGCTAAACAGCTAGTGAGCCAGCTAGCTGTACTGCCGCATGGCTAGCTAGCTAGCTATCTGGCTAGCTAGCTCTCCATCTGGCCAGTTATGTAGCTATCTGGCTAGTTATCTAGCTATCTGGCTAGCTAGCTAGCTATCTGGCTAGCTAGCTAGCTATCTGGATAGCTAGGTATCTGGCTAGCTAGCTAGCTATCTGGCTAGCTAGCTAGCCCTCCGGCTAGGCGTCGAAAGTATGGGCCGGGTGGCTATCTAGCTAGGCAATTAGCTAGCTAGCTACCCAAGTAGGCAGCTAGGTAGCCAAGTAGCTAGCTGGCTAGCTAGGTTTGCCATAGCTAGCTAGCTAGCGAATTAGCTAGCTAAGCTGCGGAATAGCTAGCTAGGTAGCGAAATAGCTAGCTAGCTAGCTATTGAGAAGTAGCTAGGTATGAGCTAGCTAGCCCAGGTGAGTGGTTATCTGGCTAGCAAAATAAACAGCTAGCTGCAGCTAGCTATTTCTAAAGCTAGCTGTTAGTAATGCGAGTAGAAGCAGTGAACCGCACCAAGTGCTGCGGCAAGGGAAACAGCAGCTTTGTTGTTCTGCTGCTGCTTTGTGTGTCTATAGCAGCTTGAGGTGTACATACACCCCGTTGCATGCGTATCTTTTGGGGCTTTCTGGGTTTTAATTTGCTGCTTCTTGTAGCTGCATCTTTTTGTTTATGTGCTGCTCTTTGTGAGAGGGAGCAGCAAGTCTGAAGAAACAAAGAAGAGGATATCTATATATATATATATATATATATCTATATATATATATATATATATAGATATATTATATAT